CATGATAGAGGCTCTAGACTCCTTTCTTCACACCACTGCTGGAATCCCAACCACTTCGTCCTGTAACAGGCTGTGGTGGATCCTGCTCTTGCTGCCTGGATAGTCTGAATAACTTTGTCAGACAGTCCCTCCTGTCTCAGCCTGTCCCTCTCAGGAGCCAAGCCTGGAGCGGTTGGCCCAGAGTGGGTAACGCCCCTATTGTACCTGCGGTGGAAAGGCGTAGAGCAGCTATCTTGGCCATGGCTCTACCTTGGCAAAAATTATGCATTGAAGTCAATGGGGAGAGAAAACGTATCTTTCGATCCCGTTTGAATTGTGCCATGAATTACACATATGATGTTTGTCAATCTTAAAAAATCATTTCCATGTCAAAAAAGTCACAGTTTGTCGTAAAACTGTTGAAATATAAGACTATGAAAAATACGCAACTAGAAAGACTACAAATCTTTTGCTATTGCTTGTGCTATCTGCACAAATGGTTGACATTAAACATTAAAAAGACCAGGCAGTTCAGAGAGAATCAAAGGCAGGCAGGCAGGCAGGCAGGCAGCTTTGCATGACATTCATAGTGAGGGTAGTCAATCCTTTTTTTGACAAGACAGCAGTGACGGCCATCTTGGTGACGTGTGTTATTGTGCGAGACCGGAGATGTAGTTCATTGAGCGTTTCACACAACCAAATGTGTTACTTCACAGTTTTACGACATATTATTTTTTTTTTGACTTGCAAAATTATCTTTTAAATTGACAAACATTATGTGTAATTCGTGGCACAATTCAAACGGGATCGAAAGATAATCTTTCTCTCTCCATTGACTTCCATACATAATTTTTCCGAAATAAGGTCCCATGGAGGTCCACCGGAAGGGGAGGGACTTCGCCTCTCTATGCCGCCTCTTTGAAACGGACATTATGGGGAAATGTGGAATTGTGGAGAGAGATGACTCTTTACATTTACTTTACATTTACTCTGGGATGGAGGGCACAGCCAATCATTTAGGCCCTAAATGATTGGCTGTGCCCTAATTACTTATTTAGGCTTTCTACATTTTTACCTTGGTTAGTATTAGCACGTTGCCATTTACATCCTGAGGTTGTTAGCATGCAATGTTAGCATTTCACATTTTCGTCAGTTGCACACACATCTTAGCTAAAGAACTAACCGCTAGGCAAGATAATGGATGATTGGCTTGGACCTTATTACTAATTCAGGCTTTCTACATCATTACCTGGTTAGTATAAGCATATTACCATTGACATTCTGAGCTTGTTATCACACTGACATGAGCATTTCAGAGCATGGCTAGCATGGCTGTAGACTCTGGCTTTTTCCTTTGTTAAGTTGGATACAAAAATAATTTCTGACCCACGCCAGATATACAAGGAATAAAAAGGATACGAGGTAAGGCTACTAGGCAGTGGCACTGAAAGTGGTGGAAGACATTTCAGATCAAGTTAACTCTTAGTGCTTCTCTAACATGCATTAACTAGTAAGTGCTTTGAAGAAAAGTGAAAGGCTCTACCTCATTGCAAAATGGCTCCTTTTTAAAAGAAAATATGAATATAATTTAACAGTAGCTATAACTGAGAAACAGAAGTGAAATATACTTAAAGGTCCCATGACATGCTTTTCCGGTTATTACCCTTCCCCTTGTTATGTAGCTTTTTCTGCATGTAAACGGTCGGCAAAGTCACAAACCCTCAAAGTACACCCTGTAGCCAGTAAAACTCTAACACAGAAAAGACGTGTCTATGCTGCCCCAGAACACCTCGTTGGAGATTTGTCTTTTTCCATTTTTTTCTTCCGGGGCCTATTGACGTCACTAAGACCGCACACACACACACTCACTCAGCCTGAGCTCCACGGAGCTCCGCACACACACACACACTCACTCAGCCTGAGCTCCGCGGAGCTCCGCACACACACACACTTACTCAGCCTGAGCTCCGCGGTGCTCCGCGCAGCAACCAGGAAACGACACCAGTAATCCAGCTCACACTGTCCGCTCCTTGAGCCCCGCAACGTCCCGCCAACACGGCACCCAGACCCCATGCAGCATTCTCATCTGTTTGTCGTTACTGGTGTCATTTTCTGGTTGCTAACAAACGCCATTGTAACACATAAACACTGATGTTCAGCTGTAACGGTGGTTGACTCATCAGAACAGAGTGGGCGAGCTGACCAATCAGAGCACACTGGGCTCACAGGGAGGGGGGGGGGCAGGAGCTCCAACAAGCCGTGTAGGACAGAGAGTGAATACACAATACTATACAGAGATGCTGTATGAGAAACCAATGTGAGTTTGGAACATTGAACAATGTTAATCTATTCTAGTAGACCTCAACAATGGAATTATGATCAGTAGAAATGACCAAGACATGGGACCTTTAAGACTATTATCAATATTTTTGACGATAAAACAGAGCTAAAAGGAGAGTGTTAATTGGACTTTTAGGTCAAGTGATCACAAACAAGGCCAGCATAAATGCTAACATTGCTTTGTGCCTGCTGACGTGTGAATAGACAGGTTATAGGTCAACTTTACAAGATGATAATATGTCAGTGTCGTGTTCACAGATTGTTTCTGCTGCCCCCATGTGTCCAGAAATATACTTAATATACAGACTGGCACATTTCAGGATTTAATAATATAATACAAATGAAAACAATAATTTGTATTTAAGCATTAAGCAGCAGTTATGTATTTACTTAGAAAGGCTTAAATAAAGATGTATACGTTTGTTATGTAAAAGGTTTATGCAAAGTAAGTAAGGCTGTCAGATAATAAATAAATAAATATGTCCTTTATTAAGTTGCATGAAAACGAAATACTTAAGTAAATCACAACTACCTCAAAACTGTACTTGATTGAACGTTCTGTGCTACATTCCATCGCTGAAATTCAAGATGAACAAGTGCCTATTCTGTTCCATTCTGTCTCTTAACACATGGTACTTGAGCACAGCACTTGTTTCTCATTACATGCTGTTAAACAAAAATGAACGACCAGACTGCTGTTTACACGTTGACATCAAGAGGAACATGCTGTAAGGCAAGGCAAGGCAAGGCAAGTTTATTAGCACTTTTCTGTCCGCGACAATTCAAAGTGCTTTACAAGTCATTACTGTAAGTAATTGCTTTTATGTAACTGTCAATAAATTACATTTAGTCACACATGCTTTGTCTTTACAAGCATGCGTATTTCTTGTTAACCATTACAGCTTGTTTCAATAAACATGAATTGACCTGTGCCGATAAAGCGGCACAATTGTGGTTTTTGTGTCAGTAAAAAAAAGGCTTCATGTACTCATTTCTTGCCAGACATCCCGCATGCTTCCACTGAACTCCAACACATCAGTTTCTCTGTAAGTAAGTAAAGTAAAGTATGCATATTCAACTTTCAATTAGCAGGTCAAAAGACAAATGTACGTGTTGGTACAGAGATTCAACACTGAAGTTATGTTATATTCGCATATTATTCTGTCTCCACCTGCTCCTGACAACATTTCTTTCTCTTTAGCCTCAAAATGCTTTTTTCCTTCAAAACTAAAACTCCTGAAAGCTGATGGCATTAGCTGGTGGTATTTGTAATAAGCCTTGAAGTCTATAAACCATGGTGACCAGTTTTTGTTGACATTTGTTGTTCTCTGAAATCATTCATGTTCAGAATTGCACATTTCTTCTCATCAGCATTTGCCAACATTGAAATGTTAGCAAATAATTGCTACTGCTGATTTCACTTTTGTTCAAAAGAGCAATCAACCCAAAGACAGGGTGGGACTTGCCCTGCTGTGACCCCTGAAGAATGTGTCAATCTGGTTCCAAGTCACACAAAGGCGTGTTGCTGCTTCAGAAGGTTGTGGGTCACCCCGCCCCACTTGAACAAAAGCACCTGGAGTTTGAAGATTCTGTTGGAGAAATGTAAATGTCAGTTTATATGTCTCCACAGGTGAGATAACGCATTTGGTAGTCGTTGTGTAACCTACCCACTTTTTCCCTCAGGGGACAAATGAATCATCTCATGTAACTATAATTATTTATGACTTTTTGACATGAATGTCAACTGTCTGTTGCACAACTGATATTTTCTGATATATCCAGCCATTTACAATACAGATACTGTACTATGGGTCTATTTCATTTGATAGAAACACAAACTCATTATTTGAAAGAATTTAAAACAGCCTAAATCATTTTTTTTGAACTGATGACGTCTACTCTTTTCAGTCATGAATAGGAAGCATTCTCACGCTTGATCAAGTGGAATTTTATTGTCACTTAATGAAGCCACCTGGACAAAATGATTCCACCTGCACTTGCACATTAGTAATTGAACAACGTCAATGTTTCAACATGACACATGTGTCTGCATCTGGTTTCGGGAACATTTCACATGTCTTTACAGTACAGGTTGTTTTTTATGTTACGCAATGGATTGTTATTAAGGATTCAAAGCCCACCACTCCCTCCCCGTCCTGTCAAGGTTTTGCTTCTCTCAGTTGAAAACCTGCAAAACCTGAGGGACGTTCGCACACAAAGGCAATGCTCTCTGTAATCACAAGGCATCCTGTTCTGCATGTCACAACCTGGCAGGTTTGATAAGGATGATTAGCATCTCTGCTCACTTTTAGTTTGTAAAGGAAAAATAATCAATCCAATAACACACAAAGAGTGTTTAAGACTCCTGTATTTGGACAGAATAATCTTCAAGACTCACCAAATGTACAAAACATTATGTGAGCTTTGTTTGAATGATTGTCAGTTGAGCAAATATGCTCACCTCTGGTACAGTAAGAAAGGATCAATCTGCATGCTTGTTATTGTTTAAGAGCACAATGGTTATGCGCTGAGGAAATCTGCAGGAATTCCTGGCATCCTGTGATCAGAGCAAAGGGATCTCCGGTCGTTGCTCCCTCGCAGGCAGGAGAGGAGGGTGTTTCTCTGAAGGGGAGGGGCTTAACAGCTGGACCTGCTTTATATCTGACCAGTGAGCACTGAGAACTGCTCTGAGATGTTTGGAGCACCTCTAAACATCAGTGAATCTCACACCGGCTAACACTGACTAACCACAGTGAGACGTTCTACACACATCAGGTAAGAGCAGCCTTATTTATCTTAATGTTTGGGGATTTAAACTTCAATAATTTCTTTGTTTCTAAAGAAATAATCAGTCTGTATAAGAAAAGGCTCTTTCTAGGTAGTGAAAGTGTTGTTAATCCAAAGTAAAAACACTTTTTAAACTGCAGCTTAGTTGCTTTAGAGTGGGACTGAGATAGTGTTGAAATTGCTGATGTCAGCCAACACCCTTCGGATAAAAAGGGAAAGCAAACATTCCTCACTGGTTACCACACTTATAATAATAATAATAATACTCTTTTAACACAAGGAAAACCTGAACACCCCTGTTAAGGCTTATCTGAACATTGTGTCTTTATTATTAATCCGGCATTTTCCACAGTCACAGAAACTTTTATGCAACAAGTGATACTCCATTGCCTCACTCATTCCTATTTTTCATTGTCAAGAATGCAATAAGAAAGATTGAGTGTCTATAGTCGTGATGCAACAGGCCATGCAGACATTGTGTCATTCAAAGGTGAAAGACATTTGCAGTGGGTTGTTAATCTTGTTCTACTCCGAACATCTTAAGATAGATTCTTGGCTCAGTTAAAGCTAAAGTTAATGCCCTACAGCATATAACTCATTCAGACAAGTGGGAGTAACATGGTTTTACTCTAAATACATTTCATATAATAAGCCTTACATACCATTTCACATATTTTAATACTGGAATATGAGGTATTTTTTCAAAGGTCATCTATGTTATGAACCATCTAATATGTCAAAGGCATCTGTATGTTCATTACAAGCAAACATAATGAACACAAATGTAGTTATTATTAGAATCAGAGCTGCAACGATTATCTGACATGTTGATTTACAAAAAAATGGATTGACAATCATTTGACAGATGAATTAGGATATTGTAAAGTTAAATAAAATAGAGTATTATAAAAAGTCCTAGATTCCTGAAGATATCATATCAGGCATTTTTGTGATGGTCACTTTCCCGAAGTTTTACAGTTTTACTCATGGGCACAAATATCTTCTATTTAGACAGATTGTCCTGGCTAAATTGAAGCTAAAGTTAGAAGCCCTATAACTCAAGCAGACGAGGAGGTCATAATCAAATAAATAATCTAGATAATACGTAGATAACAGATATTGAGGTGTAACTACTTGCTTGTACAATCTAATGTAATCTGAAACACATGTCTACTTGTTTGTTTTTGCCGACACTGTTACAGAGGTGGTAATTAAATCATATGTTTTAGCCCTGTGGCGTTGTAGTTGGACTGCATTCTATTGAGGAGTGTCTTTAATATTATGCACCCACCTTCAAGTGTCTTAATATGAATAACAAAATAAAGGATGCAGTACGTGCCCAATATCAACTGTATATAACATTTACACCTCTCAAATGTCAATAAAAGCGGACCAGTTTATGTTTCTGTAGACAGAGTTCCCGCCTATTTAACACAACATTAACTTTATTGTCACTATCTCCTCTGTGGTGTGAAAGTTAAGTACAATAGGCACATTATTACCAGTGAAGCTACAGTATCTTCACATACTTCAGGCAGGTGGAGCATCACGATATGATAAGCAAACAGCACGGTGCAATAAATGTAAAGTAAATGTTCAACATCTAATTCAGGACACGGCCTCAAACAGCACATTGAGCAGCACTGCAGGACAGCTGTTGTCATACAATACACGGTCTGTGGTTCGGCATGTTGTAAAAAGTACACACCTTCAGTCTACTGAGAAATGACAGTAGTGCCACTTTTTACTTGCTTAAGGTGCGTGAATGGTGATTAACATGTCATGCGGAAAAGGTAATTTAGTTGACTTTCTGACACAATTTGCACAGTAAGTGAAATGGAAGTGATTATAAAGAGAATGGAGCCTTGTCTAGAGTTACCCTCTCTGTTGTGTATTGCAACAGTTAGCAGGTTTGTGAAGGCCATGAGCAAGTTCCATCCACACCTTGTTTTCTTAGAGTGTGTTTTCAATCCTCCTGAAGGCAATGACATAATGTATCACACAGAGCCTGAGCCACAAATCTATCAACAGAAGGTCTGGAAAATAATGTTTGAATGATGTCATTTTGCATCAGTGAAACGGTTAGAACTTGAATATTTCGGTTATTCATTGTCAGTCTGGTACTGTATCGTCTCATTCACATTTAATTCAAAGCTTTTCATAGGATCTAGAACACTAAAACACTAAAATATATTGCACTGTTGTTAAGTTTTATAGTGTTGGATATTTTTCAAACCTCACTGGCTCTCTGCCTGTTTAAATCTTGACCTTTCCCTCCCACACACTCCCACTTTCCCTACTTTTTTTTTGTATGTGTTATTTCTATTTGTTGAATGTGATCTATTTGATTGCATTCCTGTTTTCTTTGGTTTTCTTGGTTTGTGAAGCCACAATAGTTTTGAAATCCTATTATTATTAATATTTCCCAAATGTTATAAATACGGTCAGTTTTTTCCCCTCATCACCCGATGTATCATAATATGCAATGCGTCTATTTTTCTCTTTCAGCAATGAATCAATCTATTCTAAAAAACGAATATTATCCCCAACTCTACAGTTCCCCATTAGTTTAAAGGAGCATTTAAGCGTCTTTCAACTCATTGTTCCGGTTTACATTCACTACTCTCTTATTATACTTGTGTCAGCTGCAGCAGGCATGCATTTTAAGAAAAAAGGTTAACCTCTGTACACTGCCAGAACCAAACAGCAGACAGATACAGTTAAAGAGACATTTCCTTCACAAGGCGGTAGGGGGGGGAAACGGTTAAAAGGAGTGTAAACATTGATCATTATAATGATTGGGTAATAATGATAAGTAATTGTAACTGCAGTGTGTCACAAATATTTCTGAGCCTTATCACAACACAGGGCATTTGGCTGGACCAGTTCTGAAGCATGACGTGTTGGCATGCCAAAGCAAATACATGATTATTGTGAAACAAGTTCATGAATTGGCACAGATTCTTTCTGATTCTTAAACAAATATGACGAAATGGGAAGAAGATTCCTAATTTAATTACAATATTTATTTCCCATGCACACTAATGTAGGGATTAGGTTTGAAGAAGGGTGGATTATGCAGTCAGAAAAAATACTTTCAATAAATTGTAAGGTATGTAGAATAAAGACCTCCATTTGACTGTCATTACAGGTACAGTTACCTCTATTAGGTTTTATTAAACATATTTTTTCAAGTGTTTAAGAATACCTAAATTCATATTTTGATTTATGTTTCTGCATACATTACTTTTTATATATACACAAGATGATGTCTGTACCGTCAAACTAGATATACTATTGATGGCATAAAAACATTCTTTGTTGCTTAAATCAGGGGTTCCCAACCTTTATTGTGCCAAGGACCGGCAGATACATTAAAAAAAATCGCGGACCGGTTGTCAATTTTATCTGATTTTAATATTTACTCACCAGCAGGTAGCAACAGAGACTAATTGTATTTAACAGCCTGAACAAATACTAGAACAATATGCATCCAAAACATATTAGGCTTGTTTGAGACGAGCTGCGGCTCGCCTCGAAAGTAGACGAGAATAGCCGATCGCAGCCGGGGGAGGTCTCAAAAAGCTCGCCTGAAGTCGGACAGCTCGGAGTCGGCTTCTTCTTCTTCTTCTTCTTCTCTCGGTTTTTTGGCGGATTTCAAACAACTTTAAGGTGCATACCGCCACCTCCGGAGTCGGCTTGACTCGGTTTGCATTTATAAATGCACACGGCATCTATTGCACGTCTGTCCGTCCTGGGAGAGGGATCCCTCCTCTGTTGCTCTCCCTGAGGTTTCTCCCATTTCCCCTTTAAACTGTGGGTTTTTCTCTGGAAGTTTTTCCTTGTATGATGTGAAACGTAAGGACAGAGGGTGTCGTATTGTCATACTGATATTCTGTACAAACTGTGAAGTCCACTGAGACAAATGTAACATTTGTGATATTGGGCTATATAAATAAACATTGATTGATAAAGAATGGACAAATGTGTTTAATCGTTAATGTCAGGTAGTAAGTAAATACATTTGTTCCTGCTCAAGATTAGATTCAACTTTATTGTTATTGCACAGATTACAGGTACTGAGACAACGAAATGTAGTTTAGCTTCTAACCAGGAGTGCATAAAGCAGTAAAGTGAAAAGTAATGTACACAATCTACAGAATAAAATATAGAATGAATTGAATGATGAATAAACAGTGAGGGGTATGAATACACTATATACACAGTAGCCTAGCCTAGTATGAACAGTGTGTTGTATGAATATGCTAAGATATATAAAGTATGACAACGGTAAGCAGTGCAAGTATAGTATACAAATATATAGATATTAATTTAATGATGATAAACATTGTGGAACAATGATGAAAAATGTGAATGGAAGTGGCGACGTAAAACTGACACAAAACAACAACACACTTTTGCCGAGCCAATGGAGAGTTTCATCCCCAGCACGGGGTAAAACCCACCAATGAGCGCTCAGCTCGAGATACCAGCAAGTCGTTTCCCATCAAGCATTTCGCTTCCGCAGCCCGTGGAGAGAAACTGCGCCGCCTCGCCGCGCCTCGCTCTCAAGTCTGCGGGCGTCTTTGTCCCGCGAGATTTCAACGTCTCATGTAGGCGAGCCTCCAGAGCAAGTCGGACAAAATGACTAACCATCATGCAACGCACAAGCAAGACGTTGATCGCAATTGCGCAGGTCTGCGCAGGTCTCGCTTGTCTCAAACAAGCCTATTAACAACGTTTAAAAAAAAAAAAAAAACGGTGTTTTTCGGAAAAACGGATTTTGACCGGTCCTGTTTTAACTGCTATTACATTAACACAAAAACCATTAATCATCACCAAATGTCATTGAACACCCTTTCAAACTGTAAATATGTATCAGACAACTGGTATACATGAAAAACTGCAGTACATATACAAAGACGAGACACTGAACATGTATTGCGTGTGCCAGGTGTGATCCATGTGGGGGGATGGGCACATAAGAGCGGGAAATGTATCAAATTGTTCTGTGTGTGTGTGTGTGAGTGCCAGGTGTGATTCACATGGGGGGATTGGGCACATAAGGGGGGGGACACATCTAGAGTATGTGTGTGTGTGTGTGTGTGTGTGTGTGTGTGTGTGTGTGTGTGTGTGTGTGTGTGGGTGTGTGTGTGTGTGTGTGTGTGTGTGTGTGGGGGGGGGGGGGGTGTGGGTGTGGGTGTGGGTGTGGGTGTGGGTGTTTGTGTGTGTGTTTTATCTGATCCGGATGGTTACTAATTCCTTTTCTTTATGGCGGTCATTTTTTACCGGGAACACCATGGGCGTTACAAAGTTGACTAAATCATCCAAAATGTAATGAAAGTGGTGATCAGCCATTTGATATGTTCAATTGTCTACTGTGAAGGATATCATAAAGCCTTAATACAATCGAATGTAAAACAAAAAAGTCATGATTGATGAAAGTAGTAAATCGGTCAGATTTGACCCGAAGACAACAGGAGGGTTAAACTGTTCTGAAGAAGGTAAACACAGTGAAGGCGGTGTGTAAAAAGGCACAGCTCTTGGCGCGCTGGTGCTGCACTTCTCAGAGGCGGAGTTATACGTCCCACTGCCTCCTGATGCTGCAGCCATTTCATGAAGTGAAGGAGGTTTTCCTTCCATAAAACAGCTGCGGGCATCAGATACTGTGAGAGTCCCGGACATGAATTCATAGATCAAGGCAGACTGGTTTACTCTCCTGTTTTGCCAAACCGGTGCTTAAACAAATAGCTCTACACCCCTGGCCGACATGTCCTTAAAATGAAATCCGAGTTTGAAATATATCTCAAATAATGTATGCACTGCCATTTCCCCACATAAACATAACAGTCTGCAATGAAACGGTTGTCTCCTGTGTGCTCCCAACCCACTTTCTTCAGTCTGCGTACAAATGACACGACTTTACACATTGGAAATGCGTGCAATAGAATTTGAATTTCAAAATAAAGTCACCGGAAACAGACGTAGGCCCTTAAGGGACATTTCGAGCATCATTGCGATACACACCACACACCCACTGAACTGATTACCCAAGATCCTCAGCTAGAAGCTCGGTGATTGGATTGTTTAGCCGCAATGCACGTTGGGATATGGTGTTAATGCGATATGAAATCCGAAAAACATTTTTAAAAAAAGAAAAGAAAAGAATACTTTATTCCGAGTGTGCTTGCTTTTCTCTTTGAAAGTCATCACATAAGGGCATTGTAATACACAGTTCGGCTGCATTAAATATTACACATCTGCCGTAGTTCTTTATTTATAGAGCCCTGATTAGAAGACTTACCTGACGTGGATCATAAATATATCAGCAATTAAACAACATCTTCAATTTCTCTTAACACAATACGTCTCCTTGCAGTATCAACATTAATTCGGCTGACTTTTATATTTGATCCAATTGGTAGATTGGTTATATTTACACCATAACGGTGCACAGCTGATAGAAAAGGACTTGTAGTTTTTAAAGATATTACTGATTTTCTTTGAATATAAGAATGTAAATAGTCAGGGTTTTTGGGTGATGGGAGACACATCTATGGATTCAGAATTTCAATAGCTTACCATTAAATGACGGATATACCTTTATATCGTGATGTTTTACAAATCAGATATTAATGTGTAGAAGTAAAACATGTGAAATATAGCAATATCCTGTAAAATTATGTGAAAACATGAATAAAACGACATCTTCAGATGTTATACATACATAAGTGTCCTACACTAATAATACAAAGTTATTATTAGTATGTGTGTGTACGTTGTGTGCACCGCCTAGTGGTTAAAGCACGTTATTTAATAATTTTTGTCGAATAATTTGATGAAAAAAATATTAAGAGTACATACAAAATAGGGGGAAAGTAGAAGGTCAATGATAGAAATATAGAATATAAAAAATCAAGAAGATACTGTAAGTGATCTCTACAATAAAACAGTTTAGTGCCGGATGTACAAAGATATTAATAGGAGGATGTGCAAAACAGACAAACTAATTAACCTTTATTTAAACATTAAAGAATACTTTAAGTTAAGGTCTTCTTTTGAATAAGAAAAAAGCTTTGGGGGTATCTACACATAAATATTAAGCCTGACAAAGTACTTAACGTCTAATATATTGCTTTCCTGCAATGTTAACTATGTTGAAGCACTTATTTTAACTGATATTATACATATTAATTATAGAATAGAATAGAATAGAATCGGAGGGATGAAACCCCTCTTTATTGGTCACACATGCAGAGCACACAGCACACAGCACACAGTGACATTTGGCCTCTGCATTTAACCCATCCTAGTACCAGGAGTCTAGTACTAGGAGCAGTGGGCAGCTATTGTACAGAGCCCGGGGAGCAATGGGAGTGGGGGGGGAAGGGGGTTTTCCGGTGCCTTGCTCAAGGGCACCATGGCAGGGCCCAGGAGGTGAACTGGGACCTCTCCAAGTAGCAGGCCACACTCCATATTTAGGTATGTTCGGGGACTTGAACCGGCGACCCTACGGCTCACAGTTCAAGCCCCTACTGACTGAGCCACTACCGGACATTATACTCTTATGTATTTAGATAGTATAAGAAATGTGCAGAATATGACAGTTTAATGGTGGAGGTACACACATATTGATAGATGTCTTGTAATGCACTGTTGAGGAACCTGCGACCCAAGTTTTTCATTCATTGCATAACTACACCGTAGTTGTGTATATGATATGTCAATAAACCTTAGAAAATCTTGAAATCTTGAAAGGGATGTGCAAAATAGCCATTATATACAGTCTTTAATTAACTATTAGTAGAGAATAACGAATAATGAATTTACTTTATAGGGATCTGCAGATAAATGTTCGAGTCCAGTTTTGGATAGTCTGCCGTGGTTTCGTTCGATTTCAAAGAGCTGTTTGACGCTCGGCGTAACCTTGGCACACTGCCACTCCAACATCCAATCCCAGAGCTTGAAGATTAATCACGAGGTTTGTCAAGCAATGGGACTGTAGTCCCAAACGATAGCTGAGGATTATGGGTAGTGTAGTGTCTTCGGCCATCCTAAACTCTGAAATGTTTTTCGGATATCACATCGCATTAACACCATATCCCAACGTGCATTGCGGCTAAAACATCCAATCACCGAGCTTCAAGCTGTGGATCAAAAAGCTCAAAATGTCCCTTATAGGCCTACGTCTATTTCCGGTGACTTTATTTACGGCTAAAAGGTCCAAGATTATAGAATTAAACGAATAAATAAAAACAAGGATAATTGTGTGTTATAGTAAATACAGTAACAGTGTGTTATTTAGAAAAGAATAACAAATTAGAAGGAAAAAAAGATTTAAAAAAATACAGATTTCAGTATTCTGAGGCTCTGAGGCCCATTTCTTTTCCTCACAGATGGCAAAAAAAGTCAGAAATTATACGATTTAAATAAAAACAATAATCGTGGCTTGGTATTGAGTAAGAACATGTTTTTATGAACCACACAGCTTCCGGTCTACCAAGACCCGACCGGACATAAATAAGTGGTGCAGGCACGAAACGTGGTGTATCATATACACGCAAAATCGGACTTCTGCGTATCTATTGCACGCATTTCCAATGTGTAAAGTCGTGTCATTTGTACGCAGACTGAAGAGAGTGGGTTGGTGCTCCTCTTCCTACTTGCCGCACCGGTAACTTTCTCGTGCAAACGAGAGGCTGAGACCTTAGGCTGAGCCGCCGAATCCCTCGGAACATCATAAAAGCCATTTTCAACGGTTTTCTGGTGAAAGTTTAACTAGGCACTTTGGCTCGACCAAAAATCGCTTTTAAATGTGCTTTATAAATAAAACTTGATTTGATTTGATTTGATTTAGGCTACTGGATGAAATAATATGACTGGTATAGGTGCGAAAATTAAACACTTTTTGAAAAAAACATTATGATAAAATATTTTTATATATTTATAATCCTGCAAATATTACGATAAACTCATAGCTATTTCGCGGCCCGGCAGTAACACCTCCGCGGGCCGGTACCGGTCCGCGGCCCGGGGGTTGGGAACCCCTGGCTTAAATAATGTAATTTGTTGGCAAAAAAACCACATTTATAGTGGACTGAGTGCCACTATCCAATATCACCCTTGTTGTTATCAGGCACATTTACACATCAAGTGTGAGTGTGTGTATTTATTGAGTTGCGAGTAGCCTAGATAAACTGGGTAAACACAAAGGTACAATTTCAATACATGATAAAAAGACTAGGCTGATAACGAACATAGAGAGAGAGATTTGATGAGCAGAATGTTCATCACCTGCCTTATCTCAACAGGGACCGAGTTTCAAAGCTCTAACAGGTCGGGGTACCTTTGGCCTTCATCAGGAGCGGCCCGGAACCTCCGAGGAGCTGAGGCTGCAGACTGATAAGGAAACAATAAGGTTAGGAAAAAAACTTGAACTAACCAACTTTTTCTTGCACAGTCTGGTGATTTAGAGGCTTTACTATATTATTTTTTAAACTTCATGGCCTTAACTCAATTACCAAATTTCACTTTCAGTATTTTGCTGCAATATATTAGATATTCCTATAAGGGCCAATAGGCAAACATTAGTGTTAAGCCTTTTTGCATTCCCTGAAATGTATTAGCATTCAAAACAAACAGAAAACAAGTAAAACAGCTGCAATTCTAAATTGAAAAAGAGAGCCACAGTAAACCCTCATGTTAATATGTTTAAAAATCATCACAGTTGAAGTAGTTGCAACTGTCTTCCCTTCATTTAGGAACTACTTTACTACAATTATTAAGGCCTTTATACCCTACGACGTTCTTGAATTTTTATCTTGGCTTCTTCTAAAGATTAAATAATTGACAGTATGAAAACACATTGGCCAAACAATTTGTGATTCGAAATCAAGCAAGGTTTTCATGTGATGAACTTGTGGACACCACAACATAACCAAGGAGAGTAGCAATGCAAGTCCAAAGAACAACATAATGCAAAACAATTACAAATCATTTTCATTGATGGTTTGGTGAGATTTCATAGTAATATTAAGATATTTATATAAGTGTGCCTTGTTGTCTACTAATAGAGGAACTGACTATGAGCAAGAAGTGTGAAATAAATAAATGTATAGTTATCCTCTTAGCGCTTCATATTTAGAGAAAAATAATTTCACAAATGTAGATGCGGAAAACAATTAATCAAGTTCAGTTATGTTGAAACTGTTTTAAAAATATAGTAATAATACTTTATGGTTATTGTAGAGGCTGTAGTAAGTGGTGCTGTTCAATTGTACTGAATTAAAAAGAAAGGGATTTTAAGAACTCCAAACTTATTTATACAAACGATGTATGTATTCACTATTATTATTATTATCAACAGCAACATGAACTACAGTCTCCAGAATTAACATAATGTATATCCTAGGCTTGTACATTTAACAATGTAAAGACTTTCTTCATAGGAATTTCTGTAAACATTTGTAATGGACACAACAACTATATAACTCACAGAAAATGCATCCAAACCAATTTAAGCAACTGTTTCTGTGTTATACAGCTCTTGAGGCAAAGATGGACTCCAAGCAAAATGGCCACACACAAGTCCAGGGACCTGTGGGGGGCATCTTTTTGGAGAAAACAAAGGAGAAGATAACCATATATCAAGCCATGAAGAAACGTCTGCTTAAGCCAGGAACAGCATTAGCCCTGCTGGAAGCACAAGCAGCCACAGTAGGTATCGTAGACCCAATAAACAACAGAATACTTCCTGTTGTAGATGCTGTTAAGGAGGGAATAGTTGGACCGGAGATGAAAGAAAAGCTCCTCATAGCAGAGAAAGCTGTCAGTGGCTATGTAGACCCCTACACTAACCAAATGATATCTGTATTCCAAGCAATTCGAAAAGATTTAGTCCCAATAGAATATGGATTGAGGCTGCTGGAAGCACAGATTGCCACAAATGGCCTGTTTGATCCTCTTGAGAAGTCAACTATTTCAGTTGAATCAGCAATTCAAAAGGGCTACTATGAAAAAGGTTTGCTCAATGACCAGATGTCCGAGCTCAAAGTATTCTACAATCCAAGCTCACAAGAAAATCTAAACTACCAAAACCTCCTAGAAAAATGCACCGTGGAGCCTGACACAGGCCTGGTGCTCCTTCCTGTTTGCATCACTTTTAAAGGTCTGCGGAGAGGTATTTCCTCCACTAAACTTTTTGAGTCACAGATCATTGACAAACAAACATTTGATGACCTACAGAAGGGAAAGACCAACACACAGGATGTGATGTTGATGGAAACAGTGAAAGAATACTTGGAGGGCAAAGGCAGTATCGCAGGCATTGCTGAACTCTCATCTAATCAGAGAATGAGCATTTATGAAGCCATGAAGAAAGGTATACTGATGCCTGGAACAGCACTTGTTCTACTGGAGGCACAAGCTGCAACTGGATTCATGATTGATCCTGTGGAAAATAAAAAGTACACTGTGGATGAGGCCATCAAAAACAACGTTTTTGGCCCAGAATATCATGCAAAGCTGCGTTCTGCTGAGCGAGCAGTTACTGGCTACAAAGACCCATATTCAGGTGAAACTATATCCCTGTTTCAAGCCATGTCAAAAGACCTCATGGTTAAGGAACATGGGATCCGCCTTCTTGAGGCGCAAATTGCTACAGGTGGAATAATAGATCCCATCAACAGTCACAGACTACCAACAGAAGTGGCCTTCAAAAGAGGTTATTTTGATGAAGAAATGAACGCCATACTTGAGGATTCAGGGGATGACACAAAAGGTTTCTTTGACCCAAACACAAAAGATAACCTAACTTATCTTCAGCTGATGCAAAGGTGTGTCACTGATCCAATAACTGGACTGTGTCTCCTCCCTCTCCTCTCCAAGTCAGACTGCCTGAATTTCAACTTTATTGACTACCAAACTAAAATGACTTTCAAAGAGGAGAAGGTCAACGTGACATGCGGGAAGTACATGGGAATGACAGTATCTTGGTGGGAACTCCTCATGTCAGAATACTTTGATGAACACCAGAGGCGAGACATCATTCAAAAGTTTAGAGAGGGGAAGCTCAATATCAAGATGGTTACCAAAACAATTCTGGAAGTCATTGAAAAGTCTGTGAAAACAACAAACTGCGTCTTTGAAGGCATCAGAGAAACCGTTACAGCCAAACAGCTTGTGGACGCAGATATCATTAGTAAAGAGGTTATGGAGGATCTGGAAAAGGGAAAAACGTCAGTGAAGGAAGTGATAGCAGATGAAAGTGTAAATGTCTACCTACAGGGGAAAGACAGCATTGCAGGCATTTTGCTTCCTGATTCTCAAATCATGAGCATTTACCAGGCCAAACAAAAAGGGAGGTTGATGCCAGGAACTGCTCTGATTCTACTGGAGGCACAAGCAGCAACCGGGTTCATCATTGACCCAATCGGAAACAGAAAGTTTTCAGTGGATGATGCAGTCAAAGCAAAGATTGTGGGGCCTGACGTGTGTCAAAAGTTGCGCTCAGCAGAGAAAGCGGTCACTGGATACAAAAATCCATATGATGGCCAAATAATCTCATTGTTCCAAGCCATGCAAAAAGATCTCATCGTCAAAGACCATGGAATTCGACTCTTGGAAGCACAAATTGCCACTGGTGGGATCATTGACCCAGTGAACAGCCATCGCATTCCTGTCCATGTGGCCTATAAGAAGGGATACTTCAATGAGGAAATGAATGAGATACTGGCTGACCCAAGTGACGACACCAAAGGATTCTTTGACCCCAACACCCATGAGAACCTGACATACTTGCAGCTCATGGCCAGATGTGTTAGAGATCCTAGTACAGGTCTTTGCCTCTTGCCACTCAAAAGCAAAAGCAACAGAATTAACATAGATGAAAATATGAAGGAGACGTTCAAAGCAACAACAGTTACTGTTAAATATGGAAGGTTCAAAGACAAACACACAACACTTTGGGAACTTATCAATTCAGAGTATTTGACAGGGGACAAAAGACAGGAGCTTTTCAAGCTCTTCAAATCAAGGAAAATCACAATCGAGCTACTGACTGTCACCATTTTAGAGATCATTAAGAGTAAGGAGATAAAACAGCAAGCAGGGCTGAACTTTACGAGTCTCAGAGGAGAGGTCTCTGTGGTGGATCTTTTGCAACTTGAAATAGTGAATGAAACAACGTACAACAGTTTGATTGATGGAACGATAACAAGCACTGATGTGATGAACATGGACAGTGTGAGAGATTACCTACATGGGAAAAGTTGTGTAGCTGGAGTGATACTGCAACCCTCCAATAAAAAGCTGAGCATCTATGAGGCACAGAGAATCGGCATTCTCACACCTGGCACTGCCCTCTGCCTACTTGAAGCACAAGCGGCCACAGGGTTTATTGTTGATCCTTTGGAAAACAAGAAACTCACAGTAAAACAAGCTATCAGAGAAAAGTTGATTGGTCCACAGATGCATGAAAAGCTTTTGTCTGCAGAGAGGGCGGTCACTGGATACACAGATCCATACACTGGTCAAAAGATCTCTCTTTTCCAAGCTTTACAAAAGGATCTGATTGTCAAGCAGCATGGCCTCCGTTTACTTGAGGCCCAGATTGCTACAGGTGGTATCATTGATCCTCTGAAGTGTCTTCACTTACCTCTTGAGGTTGCATACAGGGAAGGGTATTTTGATGCAGAACTTAATAAGGTCCTAACAGATCCGACTGATGACACAAAAGGGTTTTTTGACCCACAGACACAACATAATTTGACATACATGGAGATGCTAGGTAGATGTGTACAAGATAAGGATACAGGACTGTTTCTCCTGCCACTGACTGACAAGTCAAAAGCTACTGAGATAAAGGTAAAAATGTACACGGACACAGAGATAAAGCAAGAGCTTCAAAAGACAACAGTGACCATATCAGTGGGACACTACTCAGGGAAATCTGTGTCTCTCTGGGACTTGATTCACTCTGGGTACTTTACCGAGGATCAGCAGCTTGAATTCATTGAGAAGTACAGAGCAAGAAAGATTACCACAGAAACCATAATTACATCAGTGATTTCCACCATTAAAAAACTGGAGAAGAGCAAAACTTCCAAAATGATAATGGGCCTGAGAAAACCGGTCTCTGCACAAAAACTACTAGATTCTGATGTTATTGATGCAGATACATTCAAACAGGTGAATAAAGGAAAACTCACTCTTGAATCAGTTGTCCAACATGAACCTGTGAGAGGATACCTTAAGGGAACCGGAAGCATTGCTGGAATAAAAGTTCATCCATCTCAACAAGTAATGAGCATATATGAGGCAAAAAAGGAAGATCTGTTGACACCTGGCATTGCACTTCTACTGCTTGAGGCGCAGGCAGCAACAGGATGGATCATTGATCCTCTGAAAAACAAGAACTATGCTGTTGATGAGGCAGCAAAAGAACAAATAATTGGACCAGATTTACATGAGCAACTTCTCTCAGCTGAAAGAGCTGTCACTGGCTACAAAGATCCATACACTGATGCAACAATATCACTGTTTGAAGCCATGGATAAACAGCTGATTCAAAAAAGCGATGGTATACGTCTTCTTGAGGCGCAGATGGCAACTGGAGGAATCATAGACCCAAATCAAAGTCACAGACTACCTGTTCATGTTGCTATCAAAAAGGGATATCTGGATGACGAAATCAGCAAAACTCTGTTGAACCCAGATGATGACGCAAAGGGATTTTTTGATCCAAACACTAAAGAGAAAATCTCTTACCATCAGCTGATAAAGCAATGCGAGAAAGATCCTGAAACTGGGCTACTTCTTCTACCCCTGTACAAAGAGCAATCCCATGTATTTCACACTGATGAGCAGATAGAGCTTACACTCAAAAACAAAGCTATCATCATAAATGCAGGGAGATTTAAAGACAAAGAAGTGACATTGTGGGAAGTGTTACTCTCTGAATATATTTCGGAACAAAAAAGGGAGCAGCTCATACAACAATACAAGAAAGGATCCACGAAAATAGAGGAGCTCATTGAAATACTCACTGTTATTGTTACAGAGGTTTCATCCAAAGAAAGAAAGTTTAAAGGACTACGAAAGCAAGTTTCAGCCAGTGAGTTGTTTGAGTCTAAGATTATCTCAAAAGAGCTTTTCACACAGATAATACAAGGGGAAATAACCGAAGATAATGTTGACAAGATGGAATCGATTCAGAAATACCTCGGAGCTACAAACTGTATAGCAGGTGTCAGAGTTGAATCTACAAAGAAAGTGATGAGCATCTACGAGGCCAAGACAAAACGCCTGCTGACCCCTGGGACATCTCTTGTACTGCTTGAGGCTCAAGCTGCCACTGGCTTTGTCATTGACCCAGTGAACAACAAGAAACTCTCTGTAGAGGAAGCTGTGGCTCAAGGAGTGGTTGGCAGTGAGTGGAAAAAAAAACTGCTTTCAGCAGAAAGGGCAGTGACAGGATACATAGATCACTACACTGGAAACACAATTTCCTTGTTCCAAGCCTTGAAAAAAGATCTTATTGTGAAAGATCATGGAATTCGTCTCCTTGAAGCCCAAATTGCCACTGGAGGCATAATTGACCCAGTGCACAGTCACAGAGTACCTGTACAGGTGGCATACACAAGAGGCTACTTTGATGAAGAAATGAACCAGATCCTGTCCGACCCTGATGATGACACCAAGGGCTTCTTTGATCCCAACACTCAAGAGAACCTCACATATCTACAGCTGGTTGAGAGGTGTGTCACAGATCCCATTACAGGCCTTAGCTTACTGGTGATTGCAAAGAAAGGAGAGTTTTATTTCTTTGTCGATGAGGCAACAAAACTCATTTTGAAATCTACAACCACAACCAAAGCAGGAGGAAAATACCAAAGAACAACAGTGTCTCTGTGGGATCTGCTCTACTCCAAATACATCACTGAGGAGAAGAGGAGAGAGCTTGTGCAACAGTACAAGTCTGGATCAATCACAATCGAACACTTCCTGAAAATAATACTGACAATCATTGAGCAGCAGACTATAACAACCTCGTCCTCCTCAATCGTCATGTGCCAACCACCAGAAAGACAAGTGGACAGCAGCACACAATCTACTATCAGGACTACAGTCACAAAGACAACTGAAGTTCAAAACTTCCAGGGAATAAGAAAAGACGTCACAGCTAGTGAGTTGTTTAAATCACAAATCATCAATGAGGACCTCTACAACAATCTTACAGCTGGAAATGTCACAGTGACAGAAGTAAGTGAAATGGATTCGGTGCGAAGGTACTTAGAGGGAACTAACAGCATTGCAGGAGTGTACCTGCAGTCCACCAAAGAGACCCTGAGTATCAATGAAGCCAAAAGCAAAGGCCTGCTAACTCCTGGTACTACTCTTGTTCTACTTGAGGCTCAAGCTGCCACTGGCTTTGTCATTGACCCAGTGAACAACAAGAAACTTTCAGTGGAAGAAGCTGTATCTCAAAGAGTGGTTGGCAGCGAATGGAAAAACAAACTGCTTTCAGCAGAAAGGGCAGTGACAGGATACAAAGATCCCTACACTGGAGACACAATTTCCTTGTTCCAAGCCTTGAAAAAAGATCTTATTGTGAAAGATCATGGAATTCGTCTCCTTGAAGCCCAAATTGCCACTGGAGGCATAATTGACCCAGTGCACAGTCACAGAGTACCTGTACAGGTGGCATACACAAGAGGCTACTTTGATGAAGAAATGAACCAGATCCTGTCCGACCCTGATGATGACACCAAGGGCTTCTTTGATCCCAACACTCAAGAGAACCTCACATATCTTCAGCTGGTTGAGAGGTGTGTCACAGATCCCATTACAGGCCTTAGCTTACTGGTGATTGCAAAGAAAGGAGAGGTTTATTTCTTTGTTGATGAGGCAACAAAACTCATTTTGAAATCTACAACCACAACCAAAGCAGGAGGAAAATACCAAAGAACAACAGTGTCTCTGTGGGATCTGCTCTACTCCAAATACATCACTGAGGAGAAGAGGAGAGAGCTTGTGCAACAGTACAAGTCTGGATCAATCACAATCGAACACTTCCTGAAAATAATACTGACAATCATTGAGCAGCAGACTATAACAACCTCGTCCTCCTCAATCGGCATGTGCCAACCACCAGAAAGACAAGTGTGCAGCAGCACACAATCTACTATCACGACTACAGTCACAAAGACAACTGAAGTTCAAAACTTCCAGGGAATAAGAAAAGACGTCACAGCTAGTGAGTTGTTTAAATCACAAATCATCAATGAGGACCTCTACAACAATCTTACAGCTGGAAATGTCACAGTGACAGAAGTAAGTGAAATGGATTCAGTGCGGAGGTACTTAGAGGGAACTAACAGCATTGCAGGAGTGTACCTGCAGTCCACCAAAGAGACCCTGAGTATCAATGAAGCCAAAAGCAAAGGCCTGCTAACTCCTGGTACTACTCTTGTTCTACTTGAGGCTCAAGCTGCCACTGGCTTTGTCATTGACCCAGTGAACAACAAGAAACTTTCAGTGGAAGAAGCTGTATCTCAAAGAGTGGTTGGCAGCGAATGGAAAAACAAACTGCTTTCAGCAGAAAGGGCAGTGACAGGATACAAAGATCCCTACACTGGAGACACAATTTCCTTGTTCCAAGCCTTGAAAAAAGATCTTATTGTGAAAGATCATGGAATTCGTCTCCTTGAAGCCCAAATTGCCACTGGAGGCATAATTGACCCAGTGCACAGTCACAGAGTACCTGTACAGGTGGCATACACAAGAGGCTACTTTGATGAAGAAATGAACCAGATCCTGTCTGACCCTGATGATGACACCAAGGGCTTCTTTGATCCCAACACTCAAGAGAACCTCACATATCTACAGCTGGTTGAGAGGTGTGTCACAGATCCCATTACAGGCCTTAGCTTACTGGTGATTGCAAAGAAAGGAGAGGTTTATTTCTTTGTTGATGAGGCAACAAAACTCATTTTGAAATCTACAACCACAACCAAAGCAGGAGGAAAATACCAAAGAACAACAGTGTCTCTGTGGGATCTGCTCTACTCCAAATACATCACTGAGGAGAAGAGGAGAGAGCTTGTGCAACAGTACAAGTCTGGATCAATCACAATCGAACACTTCCTGAAAATAATACTGACAATCATTGAGCAGCAGACTATAACAACCTCGTCCTCCTCAATCGTCATGTGCCAACCACCAGAAAGACAAGTGGACAGCAGCACACAATCTACTATCAGGACTACAGTCACAAAGACAACTGAAGTTCAAAACTTCCAGGGAATAAGAAAAGACGTCACAGCTAGTGAGTTGTTTAAATCACAAATCATCAATGAGGACCTCTACAACAATCTTACAGCTGGAAATGTCACAGTGACAGAAGTAAGTGAAATGGATTCGGTGCGAAGGTACTTAGAGGGAACTAACAGCATTGCAGGAGTGTACCTGCAGTCCACCAAAGAGACCCTGAGTATCAATGAAGCCAAAAGCAAAGGCCTGCTAACTCCTGGTACTACTCTTGTTCTACTTGAGGCTCAAGCTGCCACTGGCTTTGTCATTGACCCAGTGAACAACAAGAAACTTTCAGTGGAAGAAGCTGTATCTCAAAGAGTGGTTGGCAGCGAATGGAAAAACAAACTGCTTTCAGCAGAAAGGGCAGTGACAGGATACAAAGATCCCTACACTGGAGACACAATTTCCTTGTTCCAAGCCTTGAAAAAAGATCTTATTGTGAAAGATCATGGAATTCGTCTCCTTGAAGCCCAAATTGCCACTGGAGGCATAATTGACCCAGTGCACAGTCACAGAGTACCTGTACAGGTGGCATACACAAGAGGCTACTTTGATGAAGAAATGAACCAGATCCTGTCTGACCCTGATGATGACACCAAGGGCTTCTTTGATCCCAACACTCAAGAGAACCTCACATATCTTCAGCTGGTTGAGAGGTGTGTCACAGATCCCATTACAGGCCTTAGCTTACTGGTGATTGCAAAGAAAGGAGAGGTTTATTTCTTTGTTGATGAGGCAACAAAACTCATTTTGAAATCTACAACCACAACCAAAGCAGGAGGAAAATACCAAAGAACAACAGTGTCTCTGTGGGATCTGCTCTACTCCAAATACATCACTGAGGAGAAGAGGAGAGAGCTTGTGCAACAGTACAAGTCTGGATCAATCACAATCGAACACTTCCTGAAAATAATACTGACAATCATTGAGCAGCAGACTATAACAACCTCGTCCTCCTCAATCGTCATGTGCCAACCACCAGAAAGACAAGTGGACAGCAGCACACAATCTACTATCAGGACTACAGTCACAAAGACAACTGAAGTTCAAAACTTCCAGGGAATAAGAAAAGACGTCACAGCTTGTGAGTTGTTTAAATCACAAATCATCAATGAGGACCTCTACAACAATCTTACAGCTGGAAATGTCACAGTGACAGAAGTAAGTGAAATGGATTCGGTGCGAAGGTACTTAGAGGGAACTAACAGCATTGCAGGAGTGTACCTGCAGTCCACCAAAGAGACCCTGAGTATCTATGGAGCCAAAAGCAAAGGCCTGCTAACTCCTGGTACTACTCTTGTTCTACTTGAGGCTCAAGCTGCCACTGGCTTTGTCATTGACCCAGTGAACAACAAGAAACTTTCAGTGGAAGAAGCTGTATCTCAAAGAGTGGTTGGCAGCGAATGGAAAAACAAACTGCTTTCAGCAGAAAGGGCAGTGACAGGATACAAAGATCCCTACACTGGAGACACAATTTCCTTGTTCCAAGCCTTGAAAAAAGATCTTATTGTGAAAGATCATGGAATTCGTCTCCTTGAAGCCCAAATTGCCACTGGAGGCATAATTGACCCAGTGCACAGTCACAGAGTACCTGTACAGGTGGCATACACAAGAGGCTACTTTGATGAAGAAATGAACCAGATCCTGTCTGACCCTGATGATGACACCAAGGGCTTCTTTGATCCCAACACTCAAGAGAACCTCACATATCTTCAGCTGGTTGAGAGGTGTGTCACAGATCCCATTACAGGCCTTAGCTTACTGGTGATTGCAAAGAAAGGAGAGTTTTATTTCTTTGTTGATGAGGCAACAAAACTCATTTTGAAATCTACAACCACAACCAAAGCAGGAGGAAAATACCAAAGAACAACAGTGTCTCTGTGGGATCTGCTCTACTCCAAATACATCACTGAGGAGAAGAGGAGAGAGCTTGTGCAACAGTACAAGTCTGGATCAATCACAATCGAACACTTCCTGAAAATAATACTGACAATCATTGAGCAGCAGACTATAACAACCTCGTCCTCCTCAATCGGCATGTGCCAACCACCAGAAAGACAAGTGGACAGCAGCACACAATCTACTATCAGGACTACAGTCACAAAGACAACTGAAGTTCAAAACTTCCAGGGAATAAGAAAAGACGTCACAGCTAGTGAGTTGTTTAAATCACAAATCATCAATGAGGACCTCTACAACAATCTTACAGCTGGAAATGTCACAGTGACAGAAGTAAGTGAAATGGATTCGGTGCGAAGGTACTTAGAGGGAACTAACAGCATTGCAGGAGTGTACCTGCAGTCCACCAAAGAGACCCTGAGTATCAATGAAGCCAAAAGCAAAGGCCTGCTAACTCCTGGTACTACTCTTGTTCTACTTGAGGCTCAAGCTGCCACTGGCTTTGTCATTGACCCAGTGAACAACAAGAAACTTTCAGTGGAAGAAGCTGTATCTCAAAGAGTGGTTGGCAGCGAATGGAAAAACAAACTGCTTTCAGCAGAAAGGGCAGTGACAGGATACAAAGATCCCTACACTGGAGACACAATTTCCTTGTTCCAAGCCTTGAAAAAAGATCTTATTGTGAAAGATCATGGAATTCGTCTCCTTGAAGCCCAAATTGCCACTGGAGGCATAATTGACCCAGTGCACAGTCACAGAGTACCTGTACAGGTGGCATACACAAGAGGCTACTTTGATGAAGAAATGAACCAGATCCTGTCTGACCCTGATGATGACACCAAGGGCTTCTTTGATCCCAACACTCAAGAGAACCTCACATATCTTCAGCTGGTTGAGAGGTGTGTCACAGATCCCATTACAGGCCTTAGCTTACTGGTGATTGCAAAGAAAGGAGAGGTTTATTTCTTTGTTGATGAGGCAACAAAACTCATTTTGAAATCTACAACCACAACCAAAGCAGGAGGAAAATACCAAAGAACAACAGTGTCTCTGTGGGATCTGCTCTACTCCAAATACATCACTGAGGAGAAGAGGAGAGAGCTTGTGCAACAGTACAAGTCTGGATCAATCACAATCGAACACTTCCTGAAAATAATACTGACAATCATTGAGCAGCAGACTATAACAACCTCGTCCTCCTCAATCGGCATGTGCCAACCACCAGAAAGACAAGTGGACAGCAGCACACAATCTACTATCAGGACTACAGTCACAAAGACAACTGAAGTTCAAAACTTCCAGGGAATAAGAAAAGACGTCACAGCTTGTGAGTTGTTTAAATCACAAATCATCAATGAGGACCTCTACAACAATCTTACAGCTGGAAATGTCACAGTGACAGAAGTAAGTGAAATGGATTCAGTGCGAAGGTACTTAGAGGGAACTAACAGCATTGCAGGAGTGTACCTGCAGTCCACCAAAGAGACCCTGAGTATCTATGGAGCCAAAAGCAAAGGCCTGCTAACTCCTGGTACTACTCTTGTTCTACTTGAGGCTCAAGCTGCCACTGGCTTTGTCATTGACCCAGTGAACAACAAGAAACTTTCAGTGGAAGAAGCTGTATCTCAAAGAGTGGTTGGCAGCGAATGGAAAAACAAACTGCTTTCAGCAGAAAGGGCAGTGACAGGATACAAAGATCCCTACACTGGAGACACAATTTCCTTGTTCCAAGCCTTGAAAAAAGATCTTATTGTGAAAGATCATGGAATTCGTCTCCTTGAAGCCCAAATTGCCACTGGAGGCATAATTGACCCAGTGCACAGTCACAGAGTACCTGTACAGGTGGCATACACAAGAGGCTACTTTGATGAAGAAATGAACCAGATCCTGTCCGACCCTGATGATGACACCAAGGGCTTCTTTGATCCCAACACTCAAGAGAACCTCACATATCTTCAGCTGGTTGAGAGGTGTGTCACAGATCCCATTACAGGCCTTAGCTTACTGGTGATTGCAAAGAAAGGAGAGGTTTATTTCTTTGTTGATGAGGCAACAAAACTCATTTTGAAATCTACAACCACAACCAAAGCAGGAGGAAAATACCAAAGAACAACAGTGTCTCTGTGGGATCTGCTCTACTCCAAATACATCACTGAGGAGAAGAGGAGAGAGCTTGTGCAACAGTACAAGTCTGGATCAATCACAATCGAACACTTCCTGAAAATAATACTGACAATCATTGAGCAGCAGACTATAACAACCTCGTCCTCCTCAATCGGCATGTGCCAACCACCAGAAAGACAAGTGGACAGCAGCACACAATCTACTATCACGACTACAGTCACAAAGACAACTGAAGTTCAAAACTTCCAGGGAATAAGAAAAGACGTCACAGCTAGTGAGTTGTTTAAATCACAAATCATCAATGAGGACCTCTACAACAATCTTACAGCTGGAAATGTCACAGTGACAGAAGTAAGTGAAATGGATTCAGTGCGAAGGTACTTAGAGGGAACTAACAGCATTGCAGGAGTGTACCTGCAGTCCACCAAAGAGACCCTGAGTATCTAATGAAGCCAAAAGCAAAGGCCTGCTAACTCCTGGTACTACTCTTGTTCTACTTGAGGCTCAAGCTGCCACTGGCTTTGTCATTGACCCAGTGAACAACAAGAAACTTTCAGTGGAAGAAGCTGTATCTCAAAGAGTGGTTGGCAGCGAATGGAAAAACAAACTGCTTTCAGCAGAAAGGGCAGTGACAGGATACAAAGATCCCTACACTGGAGACACAATTTCCTTGTTCCAAGCCTTGAAAAAAGATCTTATTGTGAAAGATCATGGAATTCGTCTCCTTGAAGCCCAAATTGCCACTGGAGGCATAATTGACCCAGTGCACAGTCACAGAGTACCTGTACAGGTGGCATACACAAGAGGCTACTTTGATGAAGAAATGAACCAGATCCTGTCCGACCCTGATGATGACACCAAGGGCTTCTTTGATCCCAACACTCAAGAGAACCTCACATATCTTCAGCTGGTTGAGAGGTGTGTCACAGATCCCATTACAGGCCTTAGCTTACTGGTGATTGCAAAGAAAGGAGAGGTTTATTTCTTTGTTGATGAGGCAACAAAACTCATTTTGAAATCTACAACCACAACCAAAGCAGGAGGAAAATACCAAAGAACAACAGTGTCTCTGTGGGATCTGCTCTACTCCAAATACATCACTGAGGAGAAGAGGAGAGAGCTTGTGCAACAGTACAAGTCTGGATCAATCACAATCGAACACTTCCTGAAAATAATACTGACAATCATTGAGCAGCAGACTATAACAACCTCGTCCTGCTCAATCGGCATGTGCCAACCACCAGAAAGACAAGTGGACAGCAGCACACAATCTACTATCAGGACTACAGTCACAAAGACAACTGAAGTTCAAAACTTCCAGGGAATAAGAAAAGACGTCACAGCTTGTGAGTTGTTTAAATCACAAATCATCAATGAGGACCTCTACAACAATCTTACAGCTGGAAATGTCACAGTGACAGAAGTAAGTGAAATGGATTCGGTGCGAAGGTACTTAGAGGGAACTAACAGCATTGCAGGAGTGTACCTGCAGTCCACCAAAGAGACCCTGAGTATCTATGGAGCCAAAAGCAAAGGCCTGCTGACTCCTGGTACTACTCTTGTTCTACTTGAGGCTCAAGCTGCCACTGGCTTTGTCATTGACCCAGTGAACAACAAGAAACTTTCAGTGGAAGAAGCTGTATCTCAAAGAGTGGTTGGCAGCGAATGGAAAAACAAACTGCTTTCAGCAGAAAGGGCAGTGACAGGATACAAAGATCCCTACACTGGAGACACAATTTCCTTGTTCCAAGCCTTGAAAAAAGATCTTATTGTGAAAGATCATGGAATTCGTCTCCTTGAAGCCCAAATTGCCACTGGAGGCATAATTGACCCAGTGCACAGTCACAGAGTACCTGTACAGGTGGCATACACAAGAGGCTACTTTGATGAAGAAATGAACCAGATCCTGTCCTGACCCTGATGATGACACCAAGGGCTTCTTTGATCCCAACACTCAAGAGAACCTCACATATCTTCAGCTGGTTGAGAGGTGTGTCACAGATCCCATTACAGGCCTTAGCTTACTGGTGATTGCAAAGAAAGGAGAGGTTTATTTCTTTGTTGATGAGGCAACAAAACTCATTTTGAAATCTACAACCACAACCAAAGCAGGAGGAAAATACCAAAGAACAACAGTGTCTCTGTGGGATCTGCTCTACTCCAAATACATCACTGAGGAGAAGAGGAGAGAGCTTGTGCAACAGTACAAGTCTGGATCAATCACAATCGAACACTTCCTGAAAATAATACTGACAATCATTGAGCAGCAGACTATAACAACCTCGTCCTCCTCAATCGGCATGTGCCAACCACCAGAAAGACAAGTGGACAGCAGCACACAATCTACTATCACGGACTACAGTCACAAAGACAACTGAAGTTCAAAACTTCCAGGGAATAAGAAAAGACGTCACAGCTTAGTGAGTTGTTTAAATCACAAATCATCAATGAGGACCTCTACAACAATCTTACAGCTGGAAATGTCACAGTGACAGAAGTAAGTGAAATGGATTCAGTGCGGAGGTACTTAGAGGGAACTAACAGCATTGCAGGAGTGTACCTGCAGTCCACCAAAGAGACCCTGAGTATCTATGGAGCCAAAAGCAAAGGCCTGCTGACTCCTGGTACTACTCTTGTTCTACTTGAGGCTCAAGCTGCCACTGGCTTTGTCATTGACCCAGTGAACAACAAGAAACTTTCAGTGGAAGAAGCTGTATCTCAAAGAGTGGTTGGCAGCGAATGGAAAAACAAACTGCTTTCAGCAGAAAGGGCAGTGACAGGATACAAAGATCCCTACACTGGAGACACAATTTCCTTGTTCCAAGCCTTGAAAAAAGATCTTATTGTGAAAGATCATGGAATTCGTCTCCTTGAAGCCCAAATTGCCACTGGAGGCATAATTGACCCAGTGCACAGTCACAGAGTACCTGTACAGGTGGCATACACAAGAGGCTACTTTGATGAAGAAATGAACCAGATCCTGTCTGACCCTGATGATGACACCAAGGGCTTCTTTGATCCCAACACTCAAGAGAACCTCACATATCTTCAGCTGGTTGAGAGGTGTGTCACAGATCCCATTACAGGCCTTAGCTTACTGGTGATTGCAAAGAAAGGAGAGTTTTATTTCTTTGTTGATGAGGCAACAAAACTCATTTTGAAATCTACAACCACAACCAAAGCAGGAGGAAAATACCAAAGAACAACAGTGTCTCTGTGGGATCTGCTCTACTCCAAATACATCACTGAGGAGAAGAGGAGAGAGCTTGTGCAACAGTACAAGTCTGGATCAATCACAATCGAACACTTCCTGAAAATAATACTGACAATCATTGAGCAGCAGACTATAACAACCTCGTCCTCCTCAATCGTCATGTGCCAACCACCAGAAAGACAAGTGGACAGCAGCACACAATCTACTATCAGGACTACAGTCACAAAGACAACTGAAGTTCAAAACTTCCAGGGAATAAGAAAAGACGTCACAGCTAGTGAGTTGTTTAAATCACAAATCATCAATGAGGACCTCTACAACAATCTTACAGCTGGAAATGTCACAGTGACAGAAGTAAGTGAAATGGATTCGGTGCGGAGGTACTTAGAGGGAACTAACAGCATTGCAGGAGTGTACCTGCAGTCCACCAAAGAGACCCTGAGTATCTATGGAGCCAAAAGCAAAGGCCTGCTAACTCCTGGTACTACTCTTGTTCTACTTGAGGCTCAAGCTGCCACTGGCTTTGTCATTGACCCAGTGAACAACAAGAAACTTTCAGTGGAAGAAGCTGTATCTCAAAGAGTGGTTGGCAGCGAATGGAAAAACAAACTGCTTTCAGCAGAAAGGGCAGTGACAGGATACAAAGATCCCTACACTGGAGACACAATTTCCTTGTTCCAAGCCTTGAAAAAAGATCTTATTGTGAAAGATCATGGAATTCGTCTCCTTGAAGCCCAAATTGCCACTGGAGGCATAATTGACCCAGTGCACAGTCACAGATTACCTGTACAGGTGGCATACACAAGAGGTTACTTTGATGAAGAAATGAACCAGATCCTGTCCGACCCTGATGATGACACCAAGGGCTTCTTTGATCCCAACACTCAAGAGAACCTCACATATCTTCAGCTGGTTGAGAGGTGTGTCACAGATCCCATTACAGGCCTCAGTTTACTATCATTGAGAAAGTGAATGAAACCAAAGCTTTCTTCATGCATTTTATTTTCTGTTGTGCTTGCATTCTTAGATTTTTACTCAACAGAATGCAGGATGTTGAAACATGAGAGAAAAATACACGCATACTGTAGTTCTCCAACTACTGTTAGTTTGAATGCTTCAGTTACAACTGCTTGTTGTGCAGTGTAGATTATTGGAACCAGCACCCACACAACCAGTGACACTGACACAACTCCACTTTTAGCCATTCTTAACCCCCCTCAAAATAAATCAACTTTGAGAAATTTAGAATTTAGTGGCCGTAAAACTCTATTAAACTGATGAAATCATCTAATTTCTCAAAACATACATACAGATCTTACATAGATAAACACTTAAAATACAGCATATTGTTTTTAAATCTTTGTTTTCTGCATTCATGGCTGTCACTGGGAAATAAAATCTTAGATTTGCAATACTTTTTGGGGATTTTGTATTCTTCTGCAGAGCACTTGGGTCTGGATGTTTTAGAGTGCGTAATAAATAAAGTTGGATTGTATTTGTGGGAATTATGAATTGTATTATCGTATGTTGATGTGGGTAGATGGAGTTAAGCTGCGCCTATAGAAGCTAGACTTAGTTATGTTACCATTTAGTCCAAAAAGATGAACACTTAATTCTTAATTAAGTTATACTTTGCTTTCATTTGAAGTCAGCCCTGCTCTTTTTGTATTATTGTAAATGATGTTTTGTTGAAACTGTTTCATTATATGACCAACTAAACAAATGAAATGCTACATTTTTTGTCAAAACATCTTGACATTTTTGGAAGTTGATGTGTATTGAACAACAGACTTTAAAATTATTTCCTGATTGAAGAGTCCTCAAATGTTCGACAACTCTTCACCCATAATCATTTCTGTTCAACAACAATAAAGCAAATACAATGAAAAACATGTGTTTTATTTCAAACAAGAGTGTGAAATATGTCTCTCAATTGGAAACACTTAAATGTATATCCGTAACAAATGTGTGAATGCAGCAAGAAAGCATTTGGTCATTCTGTAAATTAAGCTAAGAAGTGCAGCACCCTCTAGTGTAGTGGAAGGACAGTATTACAAACTTTAAAGTGACATGTTCAAGTTTTATATTTAATATCAAAAACAGTTATTGACGACATTCCTTAAAAAACAATCCATGAGGAAGTGTGTTTTTAAGACATTGAAATAAGCCTTTCGGATTCTGATTTTTGAAACTCGAATAAATGTGACAACCACTACAGTTTGTCCAGCAGCTGGCGAATGTCTTCTTGGCCACGGTAAATTCTCTTTATTCCTCTTGGAAGATAGCGGCAGGATGAAAGGTTAAGGTAGCTAAGAGCCGTCGTTTGGCCGATGACTGGCCTGCAAAATAAAGCAAAGACACCAATTTATTATTATTTTGTGAAACCCTTGGAAAGATAATGAAAATGCTAAATCTACAATACTCAAGATTTACAAATGTCATGCTGGATTCATGATCAGTTCTGATGATGTGATTGTCAAACGTTTATTTGATTAATGGGACTGGTAGAGTCAAGAAAAACTATGCATTAAGTACCTGAGGGCAGGTGGTGTGATCCTGGTCCCACTCAGGTTCAGTGAATGGAGGGTATCTGCCTCTGAGGCCTGAGCGAGGTGACTCATGGCTATCTCCAGGTCCTCCTCGGAGAAGAGCTGATTTGCAATGTCAAGCTGTTGCAGTGTTCGACTCCATTTCTGGGTGACCATGTGAAGCTCCTTCTTCGGTTTTGATAACCCAACATTGCTGCAGAAATACTGTCCCCAGAACAGACACTCCAGTTCTGCCAAATCACAGCAAAAATAAAGAAGTATTAATTAATAAATTGGGTTTTTAATGACACTCAGATCGGATATTAAGAACACAGCAGGCTATTTTATTAGGAACTTAAAAATAATAAACATTCCTTTGTAAATGTGCTTAAAGATAAGGCAATCACAGGTAAGTATTTAATCTCATCAATAATAGTTCAAGTCATTGTGGATTTCATATGAAAAGACCAGCCTATCATAATTAGTTCCCATTATAAATCTTGCTTAAAGCTTTTGGGGTTATTATGTTCCTGTAGTGTGCTAAATAGGTTTTTTCTGCATGTAAATGATCTGCAAAGGTTATAGTCCCTGTGTTCCCTCCAGATGGAGTTTCTCCCCCCCCCCCTGCCTGAAATGTCTCCATTGGTCTCGTTTACTTCGGTAACATAATGACGTCACTATGTAACACTAGCGCTTCTATTGGCTATAGCGCTCGAACACATTGTACTTGATAAGCTAAGAGGCGGGACATCTCTGAGCGGTTGACCAATCACAACAGAACAGAGCCGGCCAGCTAACCAATCAGAGCAGACTGGGCTCTGGTTTCAGACAGAGGGTGAAAAGAGGTGCTGCATCACAGACAGTATGAGAACAATAAAGAGCTTTTTGTAATGCCAAATCAACAAATAAACTAAATATGTATCACATGAGTTAAGCGTACCAAGACAGGGTAGTGATGAGAGACCGGATGGTGTGATTCGTGAACAGCCTCGCAGGTCCAGCACCCGCAGCCTGGTGGAGCCAAACAGGATGTCCCACAAATCTTTATCAGTCATGTAGGAACAAGAGGTGGTAGCGATACACAGCTCCTCCAGTAACGGGAAGCCTAATGTTGAATCTGCACTATTACGCATCGTCTTATGCAGGGGCCTCACATTCAGCATCCGGAAGGTCTGATAGGAATTACAATAAAAGTGCAAGTTTCATGGGTAAACAATGTAAACACATATGGTATACTAATGTAATGGTATACTCATGTATTGTTCAGTGGCAGGTAGCAAGGAGAGTGAAACATTTATCGCTAACAAGCGGCTAAAATGTAAAACTGAACTTGCAAATAACAATTATTCCAATGGATTAATCAGCCGATGATTTCCTCCATAAATCATGTTGATTTTAAAATGTCATAAAATAGTGACGGTTAGTGTATTGTCTGACCAGCAGTCCAAAACCGAGAGGTTCAGTTTATTTTATTTGAATATCCTAACAGTAAATAAAGAGCTAGCCTGTTATATAGGAATGAATTGTATTGTCTGTCTTGATCGCCAGGTGATGTGAGGGGTTCACTTTTATTCAAGTTACCCTGTGATCGGTAGGCTATTATGTTAGCTTCTATCTTCATAATGTGTTTTTCACTGTAATATGTGACATGTCTGCTAAACAGCTTGAAAGTGTAGCAGCGGCTTAGCCAAGGGTAAAATATTAACACAATTCAGTTACATTTAGTCAAAAAAGAAATCACATTGGCATAGTAAACTGAAACTTTAGGTTATTTTCTTACCTTGAGTTTAGGGCATGCCATCTGTAGTGCGTGGATGAAAACAGGAAGTTCACAATCTTTACTGTCTAGCTTTGTGTTGACCTCCAACAACTCCAAATCAGGACAGCTCCCCTTCTGAAATAACAAATCCAATATGTTGAGAGTAACAAGTGTATCTGCTCTCCATGGCTTCAGGTCTATGTGTAATGCATACACTAAAACAACATAGCTGGAGGGCTAGGTGTGACTTACGGTGATCGCTGACAGAAGCCTGTCATTCTTTATTCCATGAGTGAACAGAATCTGCTTGATCTGGCTCCCATGGTTTTCAAGATACTCCAGGAGCCCCTCAACCTGAAACTACAACAAAAAAAGGTTTATTTAGAAATGTAATACCAAGCAGGTGGTGGGAATTGGTAATTGGACAATTACCATACATCATTTGAAGTCTCATGTTTTTCATATTTCACTCGGTCCTGTAAGTACACTTTCATAAATGTCTATAGTTGCATTCAAACTAAATCAGGCATTGTTACGGTTAGCACAGGGTTGTACAGCAGTATTGAGGGTGACTATGAGATCCTCATTGATCGCAAGTAATGTGATTTTTCACCGCTGCCAGGGAGGGCGGTGTTTAGCTTAGTTTTATCTTCTCTCTCTGCTGCTTTTTCACTGTTGCAGCCCAAACTCACGTCTTACATTCTGACGAGTGGTATGATTGCAGCCTAATTGTTGGATATTTTATTGTAATGCAAAATTGATTTAACTGCTCTCACAACAAGGTCTGTTAAATATTGAGTTACCAGGTCATCTGGAAAGAAACATTGCTGTTTAGTTCTTCAAATGTATTTATTTGGTGCCAAGTGACATCGTGTTCCAATATAAGAAATACATCTGAAATGGCGATATCTCAACATGGCCACTCAGCAAAACAATCTTGACTGACAAAAAGAACTACAAGTAAGTGTTAAAATGTGTATTTTTGACTATGGGGTTAATGGTGCTTTTAAAGATGACAACATCTAATAAATTCTAGGATGCATCCACCACTAACATGTTCTTTTTACAGTGAAACTAATTCAACTGCTGAGCTGGTCCTGGACATACCTCTGAGTACTGCAGATCTATGCCCTGCAGAGACTGGCTGTGCAGACCGAGGCTGTGGAAGGCTGTCGCTGCCAGGCCTGTACAGTAGGAGATCTTGAGGGAGCGGAGGTGGGGGCAAAACTGCGACACAACCTTCATTGAGCAGAAACACAAAGGGTAAATACAACATGCAATGATAAAGACGGCATCCTATGAATTATCAGACAATATTTTGTAACAAAAATGCATTAAAATGACTCTCTACTCCAAACTGGGCCATACTTTGTTACACTTTTTTTTTAGAACAAAACTATTCAAATACAGTTTATTGGATTCGGTTAACAATTACTTCTATAATTGACGCACCTGATGATTATTTTCAAAATGGACATTTTGTTTTTAAAATGTCAGACTATAATATTCCTGTGCCCAAGGTAATGTAGTAGATATTCAAACACTCATAATCTTTAGCTTTTTGGATATATGACAAAAATAGAACCACATTTAAGACACGAAAAACAGCAAGTATTTAGATAAAAAGTGACAGAAACAATTAAATGATTATCAAAATAGAAGCCTGGTTGCTTTCTCAACTGATTGGTTTATTGAATAATCTTTGCAGTTAAGAAGCTTATGACATAAAAGACAGATATCTAGTGTTGATGACTTACCTCCACTGCATAGGTGACATTCTTTTTCCAGTGAGAGAGAGAGAAGTTTCGTAGCTGAGAGAATCTAAAGAACAACGACTACATGTTATAAAAAATGTTTAATCATATCGAAAAATACAAGACCTACAAGCACAAACTAAATAACAGTTTATAGTCACTACAAATGCAGACCTGTTCTGTGCCATCCAGTCAAAAGTCTCCTTAATCTTCATCTCAGTTTTAGGTAGCTGGGTTTTCCCTGGTGCAATCCAGCAGTGACCCACAGTAACTTTACGCCACAGGACCGGACTGGAGGCAGCAGCGTTCCACAAACGACAAACTCGTCCCACCCTGAACCAGAACAGCAGAAGAAAAGTTAGTTTGGTCTGAAATAAACGGAACAGCAAAAAATGCATTACATACATACATACAAGTATGACTAGGCAACCACCATTACATCAAACAGAATTGTCCAGCAGCAACAACAAAATAAGTACTCAGTATTATCCATCATTGCATTAAAATCAAAAAAGTCAAACTGCATTATCCAGTTTTTTTGCCCCAAACCATAAGCATTTGATGTTTTTTTTTCTACGGTACTTTATTGAATACATGTGGAATTGTATACTGTATAATAACACAATTGCCTGTTCAGGCCTATAATAATATTTCACATGTAGCTCTTTGAAATTGTGATTAAATGTGACATTAAATGGATCAAATCTTAAATTATGTGATAATCTGTCATCTCATTTCAACAATTATGTAAATAATGATGGCAATCCTAATTTATTTATTTTCTCAAGTTAAACAACAATTTTGGAGTTATAGATTTGGACGACAGCATTTTTAAAAGCCATTTGATCATCCCATTATAGCTTTCCAATTAAAATAGACAAGGATAATGTTGTGTTAAATGATCTGCTCGATAAGCTATATCCTCATCGAATCTTAGTATACATTCGAGATATTTGAGTAGTCACTAAGCTAAGCTACATCAAATCAAATATGTGTTTATTACCTGCATAGAAATGGTACAGCGCCATCCTGGACCACCACCATCTGAAAAATACTGACTAGCACCTCCTCAGGGAGACTCTGACCCCATCTGTCGTCTGTTGTTTTCTGTGGTACAAACAGATTAGTGTCCTCTTTTTCCTTCACAACAGGATTATTTGCCACTTTAGGTTTGGGACGGACTGTCGTTTTTTTCTTAATCTGACTAGCTTTTCCTTTTCCTTTAGTCAGCTTCTTTTTTTTGCTTCCCTTCTTTGGGGGGGTCCAAGCCGAGCCGTGGTACTGAGAAGTGGAACTGGATATGACCAGAAGCATATCCTCCCCTTGATGCACGGTGTAGCCCAGCGGGACAGGCCGGGAGACTCTGGCCTTTTTACGCTTCTTGGCCTTTGCATTTGTAGGTTTACTAGTGGTCCTCTTCAGAGAGGCCTTCTTGGTCTTTGGTCCGTCTTCTCCTTGACCTGATGTACTTGATGTGCTCGGTGTGGTGTCTTCACTTCTTTCACTGTGGGTTGGAGCCTCTGCTTCCATCATGTACTAATAATTAGTCTTTATCAGAAGCTTTTGTCAAATAACCAGACAGTGGCTGAGAAGTAACATATCGGCTTCTGAAAAAAAGAAAACAAATAAGATTAGTCTCTATCTGTGTGGGTGATTTATTGTAGATAAGAATGATGTACAGAATGGTAAGACATGCAGCACAGTGGATGGATGTAAATTCAGAGTAACTTGTGAGATTGCAATCATATCTAGTGATTTACATGTTTTACAACTTTCTTAATACATAAAGCTTATGCTAATGTCATAGTTTGTCAGCTAAATGGGATCGTACAATATAGCAGAATCCTGTATATAGTGTCATATAATGATATAAATCCTACATGCTTTAAACAAATACAGTATATGGACATGCACACATACTGTAAATAATGATTCTTCACTCTGTGTTTAGTATTTACTCCGTTGAGCGATTTGTTTAATTTACAACAGAACAATTTAATTTTAGTGTTGGTCATTTGTGCTTTTATATGTATATATAGGCTACTGTTATTAAACAATTTGTTTGCATACTTGTCTACATAATAGTCCTGTCTGACCTTAACCTTTGTTGTCCTTGTTCCTGAATGTTATGTCTATTTTTGTGCAAGTACATAAAGAGTAATGTAAAAAAGAAGTCCAGTCAAATTCCTTGTATGTGTACACATTATTGGAAAATAAGGCTATTACATTTTTCTATGTTATGCTTTTGGGTTCCAATCATGTTGCCTTGCTCAAGTATCTGTAATATTGTATTATTAATATACACTATGGGAGTTTCGTAAAATCGACCAGCAAAGTTATGTGGGTGAATGGTATCTTTTGTTTTTAAACTGTGCTGCTGCAATATTGATCAAGGAAACTGCAGGAATCCATGGAAATGTAACGTGTAACTAACAGACTTATTTCATAAATGTGTCAATGTGCGTGCGCATCCTCGATTGTTTGTAAACGAAAGCTAGTCAAGCTAGTCACATCCAAACTATGTCTATGAAGTGATAAAAGAGAAGACTGCAAAAATTAAATTAAAAAAACAACAGCGTTCTGTATGGTGCTAAATACTAATTAAGCATTTACTTATAAGAGCACATTGCAACGTTGATTTGTTAGCTAGCTAAATTACTCATACCAGCTCATAATGTAATGAGCTAACGTTACTATCTAGGAAGTTGACGAGCCACCGTGCAACATAACGCAGCGGAAAGGTGGAACAACATGTGCAACTGCGTTGACAACAAACGATATGAACACACACACACAACATAAAAAAGTACAAATGAATTCGTTGCTATTTTTGCAATACCTGCTGCTGGTTCACCAACACCGCTGGCAACCGGCTACTTCCATCTTCTGTAGTATACCCACAATGCATTTCACATCGCTCCTGTGATTGGTGGAGACCTCAAGTATAGCCCGCCTTTGTAAAGCTATCCAATCATTGGCCAGCCTGCTGTCCATGTTTTGACTCCCTCACGCTGTGTACTGAGGTTCAGAAAAGCACGGTGGTGTTGTTTTGGGGTAAGAACTAATACTTTAGAACGACTTTTACTGATACTTGTCAATTTGAAATGACTTGTAAATGCTATAGTACGCAAAAAGGTCTTATTCTCTGGTATCATTCAAGATTTATTGCAGTATATTATGCTACATTTCCTGTACATAAAGTTGGTGCTAACGCTAGCAAGTTGCTAACATTAGCATGCAGAGCTATTGTAGCATTTGCAAGTTGAGTGTTAAGGCTTTTTTAGTTAAAGTTTATTTTTACAATTAATCACGGAAATTGTCTAGTGTTGTCCTTTATAGTATTTTTTGCAAAAGCAAAATGTATGTGCTCCCAGCTAATAATCAAGGCGAGGGACTCCCTGAGTGGATAAGACCCCATAACTATAGTGGCTCATAATAAACAGATGTATACTTATTTTCCTGTTGATAAGGTATACCATTCTAAACAAATATATTGTCTAATACAATGGCCCTGCGCAAAAAAACGTAACATTGGTTATTGCTTAATGTTTGGACGCTGATGTCTGTTTCACTGTAATTTGTTGTAATTATAATGTTTAATATTTTGTCCACTTTATATCAATGAGTGTAGATCAAGATTTGAGAAACATTCTACAACATAATATAAATGTACTTTTTGGTCAAACTATTACAATCTTTAGATAAAATGTAGCATCATTAACGTAAAAAAAAATGTTGGAAAAAGTTTACAACTTAGCTTGTTTTTTTTTCCGGCAAGGTAATGAGTGACTTTTCCTACAGAACTTCAGTATAGTGTTATTGTGCATGCTACTGTCAGGGGGAGGCATTCTTCTGCTTTCTCCACAACATCACTGAAAGTGATTTTTCTGTGTAGTTTCACCTATTGCTCATTCAGGAGACAGACTATAAGAACTGTAACCTTCAAAGTTAATCTTATTCTTACTAATGCCATGATGCCGTCTTACAGCATTATTGTTTTATATTTGTACTGGTAGTAGTTTCCAGGATGGTTTTCTTTGCTTTTCAGGATTGAAAAAATATGTGATAAACTGATACAAAAAAAACTATCCTTATCTAAAATACATGGAAACAGCCATAGTTACAAAATGATTGTGGATTTAAGGTTTTACACACCCGGGTATTTACCAAGACTTCAAGTATTGTTACACTTGGTGTGGTTATGCTTCTGAATGATGAAGATTCCCCCTTTTTCTTCTTTGAACGGTGACTCTCTTTTCAGACAGCACACAATGGAAGATTTCTCCCTTGGTGGTGAAGAGGCAGTAACAGAAGCTAATCTGAGTAAGTCTAACACTTTAACCATGCTTTTAACGTGAGTAAGCCCAACTTGTAGTTAAATTGTTATCAAGATACGATATAATGAAATTCACTATATACTGCAAGTCTTTGTGAACAGTTTTCTGGAATTATTTTTATATTTATAGCATTACAACCTTTCAGAATGTTTCCATCTTCAGTGGTTTGAAATTGGGATTTTTCAGAAAGCGCAAATTAATTAAATCCATTAAAATCCTAGATTTTGTACTTTTCTGCTCACTTGCCAATTTGTCTGTTTTTCAGGAGATGAGTACTATTGGAAGCTTGTTGCAGACTTCATTGGTCCTCAATCAGGAGAAGGATTGGAGCTTGAAAGTGCACCATGCAAGAACAGACTTTTAATTCAAGTAGGACTTCTGACCGAGGACAATAATTTTCCATGGATTGCCATTGTATCTTGGCTAATGAAAATCTTCCCGAGTCATTGGTCAACTAACTTTCGTTGTTTGGTGGAAAGAGGCATTGCAACCACTTTGAGTCTGGGAAGTGATGCAAGGCAAATCTTTCTTGATTCAGACGTCAACTTTAACTTTGTTGGCCCAATATGTGACAGCATTGGAGTTGAACGGCAACATCTTTTGGAAATTAGGGATTTTAGTGAGCGAGCACAGTCAATAGAAGTCACTAATGGGCTGATTCTCGAGTTGAGCAACTTTGTCAGCAGGGAGAAACTTGCACCAGTTGTTATAGTGACTTGGCTTAGAAACTTCAACCCTGAGTTTTGTAAGAAAGGGGATTTTCAAAAGGCATATAAAGTCCTTAGACCTAAGATAAAGAAGTTAAAACTGCATTACCGCAATTATGAAACAAGGAGTCACAGGAGGAATGCAGCGATGGAAAATCTGCTTCAAAGTCCATTTGAACTGGTGCGTAAGAAAATGCCCAAAGTGACTGTGAAGAAGCGCATGAGAAAAGACGACACCATCCATTTTGAAAAAGTTATAATCAAGGAGGAATACGAGAGCAATGAAATCATGGAAGGGGAGGAATCTAACATGAGAAGAGACGTAAAGAAAATAATTGTGAAAGAAGACGCCTCTATAAACGATGACAGTGATGAGGATTTGGACGAGTCCAACAGTGGAGAAGAAACGTCAGATAACAAACAAGATACCTCGACTCTGCTTGACATTGCAATGCTGTCTGTCCAAAAGCTGTCCAAAATGTATGGTGGGAAAACCGAAGCATCCAAGCAAGTTTGCTTGGATCTCCTCAAAAATCATTATGCTCTGACATGCAAGGAGCATCGAGCCATGGCAGAGTTTGAGCAAAAACTAGACACACTTTGTGGAGAGCCTTCACTTGTATACCCCGTTGTGTTTTTAAACTACAATGCCAATTTCCTTGTTGACTTGCAAGATGCTGTGGAGCAGCAGATCATGGCCTTTGAGAAAGAGATCATTCTATCAACCGGAGAGAAACTAGGCCGAGACAGACTTTCAAAATTCAAGAGCTTTGAGAATTTGTCTGAAAGTGCCACTTCACGCTACATCCACATGGCTTGTGATATCCTAAATACAACCAACCCTGGCATGAAAAGCTACAGGAAACACTGGGTAGCTTTCTGCGAAGAAAAGAAAAACCCCTCCAGAATTGCAGTAAATCCATCACAACGATTCCAGAACTACTTCGAAGCTGCAGCGGGTCTTATCCACCATCACAAAGAGACGGCTCTGTTCTTTTCTGATTTGCTTGCAATGACAAACGACACAAACATTATTCTGGAGTGCGTTGCTGCTGATGCTAATGACTCTGTGATTCAGAGCTTTGTGTGTGTCCTGGCCATTGTTTACTGCAAAGTCCTCGGTCCTTACTGGCAGCTCCTGAATAGCAGCGGAGATTACTCCCTCTTCTGCCAGTACATACTCTTCCTGTACCAAAAGTTCCTCGATTGGTCCAAAGATCCTTCAACACTGCTAGAACCTGAAGCTGAGACAAATGTTTTTCTGCAGTACCCATCGCAGGAGAAAACCTTTGATGGAGTGTTTCATTTCTGTGGCCAGTGGCACACTAATAGGGACCTTATCAGAGCTTGCCTGAAAAGGATAGTGAAGGTGATTGCTGCTGTCACTGAGGAACACCTGAAGGATTTCCTGCCAGGAGGAACGTTTGGTCAAATCCCTTCACCAGATCTGATCTCACAACTGGAAAGTTGCACATTTTCCGCCTTGATGGCGAAATATCCTTTCCGCACTGCAGAAGAAAGTCCCATCAAGAAGAAAAAACCTGACATGTCTTCCAAACGCTCTTCACAGAAGAACCTTCAGGAAGATGATGACCAATCCGGGTCCTCTGACAGCAGCTCCGATGAATCTTCCAGTTGGCAAAGAAGTGGCCAAAATGATGCCGACAGTCCCAAGATTAAGAAAGTAAAAAAAGTACAGGAAGAGCGAGTGGAGAACAACGATAGGGATTACATTGTAGCTAAAGTGAAAAGAAACGGAGGGCCATGCAAGACACAGCAGGATGTCGACAAAATGATGCTGCGCTTTGACGGAAAAACGAGAGATGAGAAACGGGAAGGAATCCGTTGTGAGATAATGTACCAGAAAATGGTTTTGGACAACACAGACCAAAACTTGGATGCTGCTTTCAGCAACACCTCACAAATGGTGTTGAAGCTGAAGATTGCACTTCCTCGTGTTAAACCTGGTTACTCGCTTGTTTGGGCCCCTAAAAAAACAAAGACAAAGCCTGTGGTTCAACCTAATGCTGCTACTGGATGGGATGTGACAACAGCACATGAGAATTTTCATGGCGTCTGAAAAAAAGTGTGGTTTTGGAGAAAAGAGAATAATTGTCACTCTCTTATGATTTTACATTTGCAAACTAATCAAAAATATAAACAATGACCTTTATCCTTTTTATTGTATGATTCTGTATATATCTATTGCAGCTGTCATGTGTGTTACTTGCTGTACTTCAACTGCCTTTATTTAAAAATATAAGGTTTGATTCTTGTAGATTATCATGTGCAGATAATTGTATAATTTGTACGGTGCTGTTTTGTAACCAGCCTTTCTTGAAAGGTAACATTTTCAGTTACTGGGGGAAACTCAGTTGATAACTGCTTACTTAAAATATGTTGTATAAACCACTAATGAAATAAACAACGCCTTAGTGCATAGTTTGTTATTTACTGCCTGTAGAGATTTAAGCTTATGTTTAGGCTCTATTTAACATCGTCTCCCTGGAATTAGGTCCCTTAATATCGTGTTTTTCTCAGATTTGAAGGGTATATACAGCACACTCATATTTACAACCAATTAGTGCATGAATCATAGTCACCAACGAATTGTCAAATGAAAGTCCTGAAGTGTAACATTTTTAAGGAAAAACCCTGATTTTGATTGAGCCGCCCGTATCAGTTGTCAGCGGAGGAGAAAACGAACGCACCAGCCAGTTTCATCCAACCCGTGGTCTGGGAATGGTTTCTTTGACGATGGTGCCTTCAAGTGTCTCGGGAAACTGAAATGTTAAATAACACAGGTACTATGCCTGGCAACAACAACAAATAAAGACGCGGTATAAACTGTTATAATTCTTTCAAGTTAAGTTGAGTGCCTCTTTTTCTGTCTAACAGCCAGTATACAGATAAAAGGATAGTCCATGGAAATAGCTGGACACTGGTAAGAATGCGGAATAAATGTTTGGAATGGCAAATAAATACAGTTAACCAGACGTTTGTAACCATTGGAGAAATGGGGGTACATTAACTCGAGTTCACATGTAAGTATTTATAGGTCTATTTTACTTAATATTACAATATTTATATTGTATCCTGCTACTTTTGAAACAATTGTGCTCCTTCTCTCCTTCATTTTAGTCATCATATTGTACTTTGTACTCCACTATTTAGACTGAATATCTTAAGTCACTTAAAGTTAATTTGCAACTTTAGATTAATAATGGAAAATATACTATTAATGCAGTGTATAATGCTGATGATCACAGTAATGCATATTTAATAATAATAAAATAACATTCAATTATTCTAAACTAGGCTGATCTACATAATAACTAATTTAGAGTCTTGTACTGAAAGTTGAATTTACGAGGCACACGGGAAGGCAACTGAAGGGGCGGGAACTTTGCGTAAGTGTCCACCATTCTTCAGGTTAAAGCTATATATATATATACAGTCTATGGGTTAAAGCAGTGTGTGAAGAACAGACAGTGTCGTTGTTCAGCCTAAACAAGCCGGTAAAACGTGGCACCAGCCTTTTGTTTGTTATTATATCCGCAGTCCGCAGCACCATGTCCGGCAGCTGGTGGAGCAGTGAGCCGGTGACCCACGGGCTTGTGGCTCTGTTCGCCATGGGGTCCTGGATTTCTGTCAACAGTCTGTGGGTCGAGCTCCCGGTGGTAGTCAACGTGCTGCCCGAAGGTCAGTGATGCAACTTACCTTACCTGACCTTTGGTCTATCACAATTGAGCCCTTATTAATGAATAAAGTCATATAATGTTGACACTTTGCTTTATCATTCATTATCTTTGGCTTCAGTGGGACTTTGGTACAAACATGAGAAGTTAGCGTGTACCAAACGACTACAGCTAGCTACATATTTCATTCAGTCATTCATGTACTCGTGTGATGCAGTATTAAGAATAACTAAATGTAACTGTGTTGAATACAGCATAGCTACGGGTATAACAATATCAATCAATAAATAATAAGAAACAGAATAATGGTAAATCTTTATCCATATTCCAGCTACACAGTAAACTATACCATATAACAATATAATCATATTTTCAATAACACGGAGAGGTCCTTCTGTTGCCTTGAATTAATTGAATTAATTTTGATGTTGCGAATTGTATACTTTTATATGAGATTTTTCTTACAAACTTTTACTTGTAACATTGTGTTTTTTATTCTTACCTTTACATTAGTAAAATATCGGAATACTTCCTCACATCTTATTGTATGTGTCTTGCAAGCTACATTTGAATGTGTTCATGTATGGTAACTACTGGAAATCTTAACTTATATTAAGTAGCAATGTAACAAAAGAAGTAGATGCCTAAAAAAACAGCTGCATGAGTGATTTAAAATAAGTACTTTTTCATGGAAAAGAGAAGTTCAAGTTTGTGTTTTTCATAGCTCCCATTTTCGATCGATTTCGATGTATTGTAACATACAAGAATATATAATATAAACCTATTCCTCATTGCCCTAACTGATAATTGTATCTGCTTTCAGGCTGGAATCTGCCTGCCTATATCTCAGTGCTGATAGCATTTGGGAACATTGGTCCAGTGGCAGTGACCATCACTCACCACTGTGCTCCGGGACGTTTAAACGAACGCATTGTCATCCACTGCATCCAGGCGCTGGCCGTGGTGTCCTCCGCTCTTCTGGCTGTCTTCTGGTCACACACCCTCACAATAGCTGGAGAAGAAAGGTCGCTGCCTTTCCTGCTCTTCACCTTTCTGCTGTCTTTTGTTTGCTGCACGTCCAACGTCACCTTCCTGCCTTTCATGTTTAGTTACCCTCAACAGTATATTCGTACGTTCTTCATCGGTCAGGGCCTCAGTGCCTTGGTCCCTTGTGTTGTGGCCTTAGGGCAAGGCGTTGGCAAGCTGGAGTGTAAAACCGTGAATGGCACAGTGCATCCAGAATATTTAAAAGAGAACTTTCCTGCACAGAACTTCTTCTGGTCTTTGTTTGTCATGCTGTCAATCTCAGCTCTGAGTTTCCAGGCTTTAATGCAAAGACAGGTAAAGTCACAGGAAGATGCACCTGCACTGGAGTCAGAAAATGCAGCAACGGTGAAAAACGGAATGGAATCTGACCTGCTACAGAACGGAGGGACACCGGTGTCTGAGGAGCTGGTGCAGATGGAGGAAGTGCCACAGACATTTTGGACAAAGAGGAACATCTACCTGCTGTCTCTGCTCGCCATCTCAAACGCCCTCACCAACGGCGTGCTGCCCTCTGTGCAGAGCTTCACCTGCTTGCCTTACGGGACCATGACCTTTCACCTCTCTGTCGTCCTCGGCAACTTAGCCAACCCCCTGGCCTGCTTTGTAGCAATGTTTGTTGTTTTAAGGTGAGAAAATGCATCTATTAATTACAAAGTTGGGACTTGATTTTTTTTAAATATTCAGGTACAGTGTTTTGATTAACCCCATGTTTGTTTTCCAGGTCCTCCACTGGTCTCAGCTTCCTGTCTATCGGGGGGATTGCGTTTGCTTCATATCTCATGGCGTTGGCAGCAATCAGCCCCTGTCCTCCACTCCGGGAAAACTCTGCAGGAGCGGCTTTAGTGGTGAGTGGGGATAAATGCCGTTTTTTTTAACACATTTTAGTCTGAAGGAAAGTAAAAGATGAAACACTTACACACACAGAAAACTGTTTCGTTCACCAGCTTCTAATTTAGCCGTTGGAAATGAACACATGTTTTGACTGCCAAAGTTGTGTTTTGTTATTGCTTCATACCTAAAAGATTTATGTATGTAACAAGTTGACTGCAAAAAAAGGCGCACATGTTAATGTTGCAACATTAATACCGAAATGCTGCAAGTAGCACACACACAACCATGGAAACTGTTTCAAGAGGACACTCAGTGATTACTCTAATCACTCAGTGATTACTACGTGTTTTATCTGTTAGTTTTGTTGGAAAATTAAAGTTTTTTTTTGGTGGGATGACATCCAAGTCATGTGAGCAAGGTCATCACTTTTTTTGTTCCCTTGTGGCAATTGCATGCTTCTGCTTCTTGCTGCACGTTTCGGTTGTCTTGCTTTGCATGTGTTGTCAAATGAGTGAATTTGTTTTTCATAATTTGGGGTGTGTTAAACTCCTACAACAACAGCAGGGTATCACACATTTTTTTGAACCTATCAGGATTGAGCAAAAAGGATTCCTGTTCTCATATTAGATCTGACTTAAAGCCTTAGGCGCTTTCACACCGCAGTACTTTTCCCACAAAGGTTCATCAGAACTTAGTTCATGAGCACTCTTTAGTTCTCATGAACTAAGTACAGATCGCGTTCACACCGGAATAAGTCCCTGAGGGAGGATTAGGCAAATGAAGCCGCTGACGTCACTTCTTCTTCTTCTTCTTCTGCTTTGGGTTTACTGGCAGGCCGCAAACCACTTCACGGCGTATACTGCCACCCGAAGTCCCCGGAGTTGGGGACTGGCTTCAGTAGAAGCTGCTGGGACTCCCAGCAGCTTCTACTGAAGCCTTCAGAGTAAATCGCCAGAATGCAGACACCTCATCTCCACCGCTCTCATGTTTTCTTTTGTGTTGCCATAAGTTAGTCTCTCTGCGTTTGTGCGCTGGGCTAATGCTAATGCTAATAATGCTAATGCGAGGATAATAAAATGGCGGCTTCACAAAACTTTTTGGAGTTTTACGGGGCGTGGTTTGCAATCCGCCCAGCCAATCAGAAATAGGAACCTTTTTCTCCCACGAAAGTCCCTGCTCTCTAGCAGGGACAGAAAAAGGGGTAAAAAGGTTCTGATGAACTAATTTTAGTTCTGGATTTTTTTGGTGTGAACGCAACATTTCGGAACTAAAGTGGGAAAAGTACTGCGGTGTGAACGCACCTCTTGTCTGTTTTACCTCCCTGTTCATGTCCCCCACTGATTCCAGCTGCTTGCTTGTGCCCCCTACAGGTCATCTCCTGGATTGTTTTCACCGGCCTCCTCTCATATGTGAAGGTGGCGATCGGGACTTTGCTTCACAACGCGGGTCACTCGGCCCTGCTGTGGTGCGGCATCTCCATCCAGGCCGGCTCACTGATCGGAGCCCTCACCATGTTCCCCCTCATCAACGTCTATCAAGTGTTTGAACAGGGCCGAGATTGCGTGAATAACTGCTGACTGCAGGAGTGAGAAATGTAAGGTTTTATATAGGCTCAATTCCCATTTATACGTAACAGAATGACTACTTTAACACAGTTTTCGCGGCTCCGGAGTGAAGAATCTTCTTTTCTAGTGATGAAGCATCCTCTCCTGAACCAGAGGCATCTGAGCCTGTGACAACATTCCCAGATAATGGACGCTTTGTACGCTGCACATTGGCCAGGGGGAAGTAAAAAGCGTATGATGCCGTTACACCACAAGTGCTTTGTGTGGTGGTTTGAATCCCTCTAGTTGTTTACTGTTGCAAAAACAGCAGCTGATATTTTCACAACACAACAGTCTATGGGAAAAGCTCTTTACTCAGGGACACAATCATTAACTTATTAATTTACATGTGCTGCTCCTAAATATAATTCATAATAAATATTTACACTGTTAGTTGCTTATTCCAGACAAGAAGTATTTTACTTTCATCTTTTTTCAAAATGTTGCCTACCTCTTTGCTTTTCATTCCGTTGAAGCACATGATGCCTTTTTGTCTGGTATACAATTTAGTATTGCTGAAGCCAGCCGTATGAAACGTTCATATATTTGTAATGAAGTTACATAAACAGTTTCATAAATGAAGTGCCATTACTTAGATTTCACGCCAAAAAGATTTTTGCTATGTTAACTTTTCAAAAGAAGGTTCTCGTAATTTGAATTTTCCTTTACACTTGACAATGTTTCATAATGCTTTATATGTTGGAATACTAGTTTATTTACTATTATTTTTGATTGTCATTACTTCCAAATGTACAGTGATGTTGTGTCACCTTAAGGGAACAATAGCTGGCTTTGATGGGGAGTAAAGAGATTCTGTCATCCCAGTCACTAAATTAACAATAATTGATATCTTTGGTACGCATAAATTCCTTGTAAGGTAGTTGTTTCAACTATGCTGCTACAGTAAATCTCATTTAATAACTTCATTAACTCTACAGAAGTTTACAGAGGAAGAATATTTGTTAATGTTTCCTCAACTTTATGATTGCAATCCCATAGAGTAATCCTGCATTTTTTATATATTAATAATCGGTTTAATTCTTTGCCATCTTTAAAAAATGTTTTGAAAGTTAAATTATGTTTTTTATGTATTTTTCTTCGTATCTGGTGATTTTTTGTTGATTTTCTTATTTGAGTTGATATTCAAATGGCTGAAACGTTTATTATGAAGGTTATGGAACAACTTGGAAATAATAAAGATTTGTTGAAATAGTTTTTGTCTTAAAGCTGCAGTATTTGATATATTCTGGCTGTTCCCCTTGTGATCTGGGAAAGGTACAGGATGCACCTTGCTGTCAGCTGTTATCCAGAGCAGGATGCACCTTGCTGTCAGCTGTTATCCAGAGCAGGATGCACCTTGCTGTCAGCTGTTATCCAGAGCAGGATGCACCTTGCTGTCAGCTGTTATCCAGAGCATTAAGGCACAATGCACTGTCAAACCTGAACCACAGTAGAAATAACTGCAGTTCTAAAGAAACTTGACCTGGATTTATTATATCTTGCAGTGTTTAGTGTCTACATTTAGAGCAGGGGTCTAGTTTCAGATTTTGGGACTCGCTGACAGTGTTGGTTAAAAAAACTGTCAAACCCTATTAGTTTACCTATCAATTTCCGGATGCTAATGGAATTAGAATGATGTTATTGGATCCCAAAGACCCTACAAAATTACTTCAAATGAACTATGGCAAATGGCCGACTAATCACATTCTGTGTAGGTGAGCTTTCAAAGTCACCAAATTGCAGATCTGCTGAAGAATATTGGACTAGTTTCCATTTATAAAATGAGAGAATAAATATGTATTTTACTATATATATGAAAATAAAGTATATATTAGGTAAACAAAACAACGTTGTAATATTAAAGGAAAACTTCTGCTTAATTTGTTATAGGTTTTTGAACATGTAAATGGTCTGCAAGGGCCAAAATCTCTGTTTTCCCTCCACAGGTATTCTATCCCAGTAGTGACATCACTGTGTAACACTCGCGCTTCTATTGGCTAGCGCTCCAACACATTGTACTTTATAGGCTTAAAGCGGGACATTTTCGACACATCTCTAAGAGGTTGACCAATCACAACAGAGCTGGCCAGCTAACCAATCAGAGCAGACTGGGCTCTGGTTTCAGACAGAGGGTGAAAAGAGGTGATGCAGCACAGGCAGTATGAGAAACATAAAGAGCTTTTTGAACATTAAAGCATGGAGACATGTCCCAGCAGAGACACTACATACTGATATGAACCTGAAAATGAGCAAAACATGCCCCTTTAAAGAGATAGATTTTAAGATAAATAAGAACAAAATAAAAGTGATATAAATCTTTTTGTCTACGAATATCTAATATAAATTGTTAATTGTAAATTGTTAATCTATTCCTTTTACTTTTCTTATTTCCTTTCTGCTTTAGTTTTTTGTTGCTGTAAATACATGTTTGCACTTTTTTAAAAAGCACTGCTGTAAAAAAAAGTGCTTCATAAAAACATTTAAATTATAAATATAACAATAATTATTGCATTATTATTGTTATTATTATTTGTATTATTATTATCTTTTTTGATTCCTCAGATTATCAATTTAATCATCAGTATCCTTTTGGTAATTAAAACAATAATTGTAATGATTACATAAGGTTATATAGATCCTTTTATTAAATCAAAAATAATTGGATGGAGATTTAAAATAACATGCCTTTGAATCAACTGATGAAACATGTAGTTGTGTAACCGGTAAGCGTAAACACTCATTTTCAGCTCTGCTCCCATGATCCCCTCAGGAATTCTGTAGATTCTTGAATCATCGCAGTCATTCGCCGACTGCCTCAAGGTGAGAAGAGTGCAAACTGGGGGAGGCAATCAGAACATGTGATGTCTTCTGATGACCCTAAAAGTGACTGATGTGAAGGTACTTTAGTTTGAGACAATGATCGGTTAACTAAACATGTGTACATGCTCCCACACCCACTAACCCCAAGGAGGGTTTAATCCCTTGGCGCACACACACACACACACACACACACACACACACACACACACACACACACAAACACACAAACACACAAACACACACACACACACCCACACACACACACACACACGCACACACACACGCACACACACACACCCACACAGACACAGACACACAGTATACTGCACAGGACTTTGGCTTCCTCGTCTGCAGAAAACTTCAAGTCTCTCCACCAAACAGCATGTGAGTATCTGCAGGGGTGCATACCAATATTTTATTTAATAATACTGTAGTGTTTGTGCTACAGGGTAAACTTTGTAATCTATGTACAGAGATTTTATAAGCCACTATATATATATATATATTGTTATATAACGAGCTAAAAACCATGTCTCTGCTTCCAGATCAAACTGAGAATTCTTATTATTTTAGCTTTGAGGACTCTTCTAGCCGTGTATTGTTGATCAAAAACTTCACAGCATGTAGTTTCTTTCACAATAAACAATGCACTAGTCAGATGTTTTCATAGATGATATAATAGTTACCATAGGTGGTCATGTTTCTTGCTGTATGCTTAGTGTTTCAAGCGGGCTTAACATACCCTGAAAAAATGAAAACAACTGAACATAACTTGCACGAAATCTGGCACTTTGCATGTAAAACCTTGAGCATGTGTAGCAAGCTACAGAGATGGAAAAAGTACTCACATCTAGTACTTCATTGTAGGAATACTCTGTTAAAAGTAAAAGTCCTGCATTGCAAATGTTACTCAAGTAAAAGTACATAAGTATTATCATCAAAATATACTTTAAGTACCAGAAGTAGTCATTGTGCAGAGTGACCCATTTCAGAATAATATATATTATTGATCATGAAAGTGTTCTCAAAGCTGGTAAAGGTGCAGCTACTGTAGTTTGAATGACTTTGTATACTGCAGGGTAGCTTGTGAATTTACTCCAGGTGGAACTAAAGTATGATTTAAGAGTCGATTATATTTATAAGTAACTAAAGGTATTAAATAAATGTAGTGGAGAGAAATTAAGTGATTTGAAGTACAAAGTAGCACAACAATTGAAATACTCAAGTAAAGTACAAGTATCTAAATTGTGCTTAAGTACAGTACTTGAGTCAATGTACTTAGTTACTTTTCAGCACTGTTAAGCTCACGTGGCAACTGAGAATCTGCACAACATAAAAGCCGTCCAGGAGACAAGACAGTATAGTACACATTAATCAACTACAGGAGTGAATCACATACTGTACTTTAACGAGTGTTAGCAGCTTCTCATGGTAACACATTAATCTGCGATGCTGAGTTTTCCTTTGACATATGCAACTCTTTTGTAACATGTCGTTTTAATCATTTCAAGACCTTGTCATTCTTTGTTGGTTTACAGTTAACCCAGAAAAAGTATTTAATGTTTAACCATCAGTAGGCCTATTAAACAAAGCATGAATCAAAAATTGTATTTGTCACGTAGGACATTTAAATACTTAACCACGTGCCGTCTGTCGCTTATCTTTATCATAACCAAATATTTGGATGAAACGAGGGCTTACGTATGGTAACCCTTGTTATATAAACACAGGCGCGGAGGTGTGCTATGACGTGGAGGACTCCCCCCTCCTGCCCTAAAGCAGGGGGAAAGAGTCCTCCAGCCCCCTATGGGCCCATGTGCGCGTCACGTCCCCCGGGGCCGGGGGAAAAACGTAAGCGCATTACGCCCGGGGAGGGGGTCAGATGCCCACTGACCCACAGCCCCCCCTCCCTCCTCACCAGTCCTGCGTTGCCCCAGCAAGCACAGACGATGAAAAGGAGCCAGACATGTCCAAGAGATAAAACTTTATGAAGGGGCCTGGCGTTGACCAAGACGCCGCCGTGCATATGTCCTCCACACTCACGCCGTTAAATAAGGCTGTTGACACAGCCATGGCTCGTGTAGAGTGTGCACGGACCCCCGTGGGGAAGGCTCTCCCCGCCTGTCCGTAGGCATGTGCAATGCACTCGCAGAGCCAGCCTGCCAGGCGTTTCTTGGACAGAGCTTTTCCAGTAACCCCACCCCCGAAGCACACAAACAGCTGTTCCGTGCGTCTAAGGGCAGCCGTGTGCTCCACATAATATGCCAGCGCACGCACCGGGCAGAGGAGGTGTAATTTAGCCTCCCTCGCCTCACTATGGGGGGGGAAGATTAAAGCCCCCCAACTGAATAGCCCTCGACCTGAACGCACTCCTTAGGCTCTTAGGCACAAAGGAGGGGTTCGGTCTGAGTGTCGCCCCACTCTGGTCACCCCGGATCATTAAACAACTCGGGTGCACCGATAGAGCGGTTAACTCGGACACTCTCTTGGCTGACGTTAAGGCAAGAAGCAATGCTGTCTTCCACGACAGTGCTTTCAGGGAGGAGAGCTCCAGAGGCTCAAATGGTCCTGTGACCAGAGCCTCGAGCACCAGCGGCAGGTCCCACTGCG